AAACATCAAGCACGTACAGATAAAACATCAAGCATGTACAGATAAACATCAAGCATGAACAGATAAAAATATCAAGCACGTGATAGATAAACATCAAGCATGAACAGATAAAAATATCAAGCACATACAGATAAATATCAAGCACGGGACAGATGAAAATCAAGCATAAACAGGTAAAATGTCAGACACGGAGTGACATTTTGTCTAGCCATGCTTGATATTTTATCGCGCAATGTCTGATAATTTTGTCCAACTCGGCTTGCCATATTCACTCGGGTTGAATTATCCGGGTTAGACCCGAATTTTGCGGAGCACTATTATTAACATTCGACGCAGAAGTATTACACAATTTAATTGGAAATCTGACATTTTTTTTTTTGCTAAAATGCTCTTACTCAAATAAGATATATTTACAATATATATACAATTTATAATAGAAAGCACTACCGTCACCCAGTACTTTCCAGAACTTTACAAGAGCTGACTATATTACAGGAAGCTTTAAGCATTAATGCCCATTTGAGATAAAATCCCGATCGTCATACTAACATATGCTCCTCGGATACCGTTCACTTATCAAAATAAAAATTTTTTAAAAGACTACTTAAACCATACTAGAGAAAAAACAAGTTCGCTAAAAAACTCTGAAGCTATTGCTACACTAAAACTTATCGTTTGTTTATATAGGTTGTTAAATACCTATTTGGTCAAACAAACTATTGAAAAAATAAAAGAAATCATATTGGTAATTAAGAATATAGATTTATATTTTACACAGTACAGCCACGTTATTATATAGTAGAATGTAATAGAAATTAAGTGTTTAAGCCTGCATGTTATTTGTATTATAATGATACAATTTGAAATATCTATCTATTTTTACAATGTTTAATATTTTGCATAAAAATCTTTTATTTAGAGAAGTTTAGAGAGTTAGGGTATATTATCAAAATAAATTATTGTAAAATAATTTCGATAAAAAAAGCAATTCGTAAATATTATTGATTGTCGTGATGCTGAGACTGATCTGTTTGTGTCACTTCTTGTATACAATTTTCAAACTATTAACTTTAAGATAAAAAAAAATCATGGGTTGTGGCTTGTGACATAATTATATGATAATAGGATATTAGCTGAATATTATTAAAAAAAAATAGAGAACGTGTTTTTGTTGATCACTTTCAGTAAATACTAGTGCAACTCTGCCAATCAGTTGTGGTAAATAATAGTTGTGCAATAGACATATCTAACAATTATTGCAAGTATAAATATTTTTTTAAAGAAAATTGTTGGTTTAAATCTTATTATCCGGAGCGAAGCGAAGGACTAGTATATATGTTTAATAATAATGGAATATTAATGATATATGGTGATCACATGGCTATGTCCGGTTTGTTTGCGTGCACCATGTCACTAAAATTTTGTTCTACATCAAATAAAAATAAATTTATGAAAAGGTTTATTTACAATTTTCTTTTTTTTGCGTTTTCTAAATAAATTTATTTATATTTTTTTTTAAAAAAAAAACATTCTAATTTTCCCATTTACCAAATTTATCCAGAAATTACTATTTCCCTCAAATTTCGTGTCGATCTTTTGTGCAATCTTAGTCCTACAGAACTGTATAGAAGATACGCGGACTTTCTACATAGAAATGCCTGGTGATACTATCCTAACTATAAATAGTTAAAATATTTGTATTTTCTTATTTTAAATTCTAACCTTTATAAAACCGTAAAATTAACTTCCGCAGTAAAAATTTTCTTGCACTTAACAATGTCTAATAACACTGAACTTATTAATAATTCAAATGAGTGTAATTGGATAGAAGAAGCAATTTCTAAAAAACTTATTAAATTTTATGAATTTAGCCAATTTTATAATCTTCAAGAAATTGGTTCTGGAGGCTTCGGAAAAGTTTATCGTGCAGATTGGAAGGATTCTCATAAATGTTGTGCACTTAAATATTTTTATAATTTAAATGATGCTGCAATTAAAGCAATTGTTCGTGAGGTAATTATAATATCAATACAATTATTATAATATTTGCATTTCTAATATATATATATTTATTATTTATTCAGATTCAACATCATCGTGAAGTTGACTTTTATGATAATGTTATCCGTTTTTATGGCGTAACAACTTTCAGTAGGAATATGATAAGTTTTCAATAATCATTTTTTAACATATAATCATTAATTAACTTGTGTGTTTTTCTTTTTAAAAGAAAATCAAATCAAAGAATATTCGTTGGTAATAGAGTATGCTGACGGTGGAACACTTAGAGATTATTTAAAAGAAAATTTCGAAAATCTTACTTGGAAAGATAAATTTAGTCTTGCATTTCAACTGGTTTGTGCAGTATCATGCTTACATGGTGAAGGAATCGTGCACCGTGATTTGGTAATTAATCAATTTTATGATTTATTATAATTATTTTTATTTAATGCCCATTTATCTTAGTTTAATCTTTTATACTTAATATTAGCACTCAAATAATATATTAGTTCATCAGAATACTGTTAAGTTGGCCGATTTTGGACTTTCTAAAAGGATTGAAGAATCATCCAGCCTTCAATCAAAAGTATTTGGAATGATTGCTTATGTTGATCCAAAAATATTCAATAGAAAAAGAAATAGTTACAATAACCAGCAAAAAGTATACTCATTAAATGAGAAGAGTGATGTTTACAGTATTGGTATACTCTTATGGGAAATTTCTAGTGGGCGACCACCTTTTTGTAATGAATTGAACGATCTCGGTTTGGCCATGGAAATTTTACAAGGTCTTAGAGAGACACCCATTCCTGATACACCTGAAGAATATATAAAAATTTATACTGGTAAATACTATTTAAACCTATGATTTAAAAATAATAATACAAATTTCAATTAATATATATTTTTTGTAGATTGTTGGAATACTGAACCTGATAATCGTCCATTTATCAACCAAGTGTTTGATAAATTAAAAGAAATTATAAAAAAAGAAAATATAATTATCAAAGACTTTCATTTATTTAATGATAATAAAATTACACAATCATCTAATCATCAGCAGCCAATTTTAGATGGTGAAATTTCTAAAAATATTGATTCATTACCTGGAGATTTGTCTCAAGTTATTCAAAACTTCAATACGATGAATACAAAAGAAATAGAATCTTCGATGTCATCAAGTAACCAATTTGAGATTAACTTTGATACAATAGTTAATGATATGATTAATATTAATTTTGATAATATTGAAGTAGGTAAACAAAAAATTCTAACTTATCTTAATAGCCGTAATCTAACTTTACAAGAATTTAATAATTTATTATTAAATAATCAAAATGATTCGAATTCTCTTGCCTTACTTGGAGATTTGAATTATCTTGGACTTGGAATTAGTATTAATGAGCCAAAAGCATTTGAATTATATCAAAAGGCAACAGACTTAGGAAATTCATCTGGAATGTGCAGTTTAGGATATTGTTATCTAAATGGAATTGGAACTGATATTGATAATGAAAAAGCATTTGAATTATATCAAAAGGCAGCAGATTTAGGAAATTCATCTGGAATAAATGGTTTAGGATATTGCTATCAATATGGAATTGGAACTGATATTAATAAGAAAAAAGCATATAAATTATATCAAAAGGCAGCAGAATTAGGAAATTCATTTGGAATAAATGGTTTAGGATATTGTTATCAATGTGGAATTGGAACTGATATTGATAAGATAAAAGCATATAAATTATATCAAAAGGCTGCAGACTTAGGAAATTCATATGGAATAAATAATTTGGGATATTGTTATCAAGATGGAATTGGAACTGATATTGATAATAAAAAAGCATTTGAATTATATCAAAAGGCAGCAGATTTAGGAAACAGTTTAGCTCAATGTAATCTTGCTAACATGTATGAATATGAAGAAGAAATTACTAAGAATTTAGATAAAGCTATTTATTGGTACAAAAAATCAGCTGAACAAGGAGTGAAGCTCAAAATAGATTAGAAAAACTTAAAAATAGGAAATAAAGAACAATAAATTAAATTATTTGTTTAAACATTTAATAAAATTACCACTACTACAGTTTTTATTTTCTGTTTTTTAAATATTTATTAAATTGTCACTTATAATTTTAAATATTATTAATAATTTCAAATAGCTAAAAAAAATTCATGTGCCAATATCTATTTATATAAAATTCATGATGAATAAATTTAAATAAAATCAATATATTATTAGTTTTTACCATATCACTAAGCTAAGCAGAACATTATGCTTGTGTATATTATAAACTTTATATTACTTATTTAAACTTTACAGACTTTACAGATATATTGTATTTTATATTTTATATTATATGTATTTTAGATGTAAATTTAATTTTTCGGTTCTCATATCCCGGCCAGATCAGTATTTTGTTAAATTTCAAAAATAAAATTTTATTATTATTACTACTATACTGGGTGAGATCTTTTTAAAAGTTAAAAAAAAAAATTTCATATGAATTTTACATATAAAATATTTTGAAAAAAAAAATTAAAAGCCGGATTGCCGGGTCATTTTCAAAATTGTTATGTTATAAGAACCAAAAAATCAAGTTTGCATGGCCCAAAAAATAACTATAATTATAATATTAGTTATCATCACTAGGATGAATTTTCGAAGGGATAATGCATTTAAAAGGTTCTAATTCATCGATAGATAAGAAGAATTTACAATATTTATTATGCTGAAAATATTTAATTTATTATAAAGTTGATTATAAATATTAAATTATGAGCTTTGAAAAGTTCTTATATAAAGAATTATTTTTGTTTACAAAATAAAAAGTTTATATAATATTTTCAGGAATGATTTCCTTTTTTTTATGGTGGATTCATAATACAGTATATGGTGCAATCATACTTATAATTACTGTACAAATCAGTTATATTTCATATACTAGTTTCCTAGCTTGGATAATTTATAAAGAAATTTACTCCTTGATATGTTCATTTGACAAATAAATTTAGTGACTAATTTATTTTTCACTGGAACAAATTTGTATAATTTCTATAATTCCTATAATTCAATTGAATTTTAAGTTCAGTAATTTATGAATGACATCATTATGTAAATTAGTACAAACTGAGTTTTGTATTCAAGATTGCCTATATATATTTACAGACGGAAAGCTTAAAAATATATTATATCAGAAAAAAAAGATAGTAAGTAGTACTGTACGTCCTTAAACTTTGATTGAACGTACTACGTACGTTTACAAAAGATGAAAGGGAGTAAAAAAGAGCAATGAGAAGTGATAGGAAACAAAAAGGAGAAATAGGACATGATGGGAGATGAGAAAGAGTGATGGAGACGAAGAGGAGTGATGGGAGACGAAAAGAAGTGATGAGAGACAAAAAGAAATGATGGGAAGATGAAAAGGAGTGATGGGAGACGAAAAGAAGTGATGGGGGACGAAAAGAAGTGATGAGAGACAAAAAGAAATGATGGGAGACTAAAAGAAGTGATGGGAGACGAAAAGAAGTGATGGGAGACGAAAAGAAGTGATGAGAAGGTGAAGAGGAGTGATGAGAGATGAAAAAACGTGATGGGAGACGAAGAGGAGTGATGGGAGACGAAAAGAAATGATGAGAGACAAAAAGAAATGATGGGAGACGAAAAGGAGTGATGGGAGACGAAAAGAAGTGATGAGAGACGAAAAGAAGTGATGAGAAACAAAAAGAAATGATGGGAGACGAAAAGGAGTGATGAGAGACGAGAAGAAGTGATGGGAGACGAAAAGGAGCGATGGAGTGTGGGTTGGGAGTGATTGTGATTGGAAGTGCGAGTTTGTGTGTGGGTTTGTAGTGTGGAAGTGAATATACATTCACATTATTGTTTTTGATACTCTTCTCTAGTTGTTTAGAATTTAAAAGGAAATTTTGTATAAGATGCAGATTTTATTCTTGTTTTAAGGTATTTCCATTTTATTTCTATGTAACTAAAATAAGAAAATAATTAGTAAGTATCCGCCAAAAAGAATATATTGTAATTTTAATCATTATAACAGTGACTCTACCCCGATAAAATTGTTCAGGAATTATCGTACTGCTCATTTCATTAGATGACGGGCCACATGATTAGAGTATTTCCTAATCATATTACTGGAGAGTTTCTGTAAATATTTTTACTAATATCACGTGATAACACGAGTAGCATGCTAATAATCGTGAAAATAAATTATAAAAATGCATTTTGCAAGTTGCCGTTGCAGAAAACTAGTGATAATTTTTGATATACCTTTGGAAAATCTTTTAACTAAAGTAAAATATAAAATTTTTGAAAATATTGATACTTTCTCATATATTAGTATTAAACTATGCCAGTGCCAAATATTTCATATAATTCCTTTAATTGATTAGATGGATTAATAAAAATGTTAACTTAATTGATCTAGCATATTCGACTTAAATAAATTCATTAGGCTATAGAAATTTATTTTATGCAAATCACGCTCAATTGATATAATAAATATCACTATAGTACGAGCTAAAATTTGACTTGAATTATAAGTTTTTTTTAAATTATTCATTGATCTGCGTTGAAAGAATTTTATATATTCACGGAACACATGTGTCACATTTAACATGAATACAAACATTCAGATCATCATTGTTATTTCTTATCATAGTTAAACTTTACTTTATAAAGAACCTAATTTCTATAAAAAGTGTCATTAATAACTTAAACCTCTTGTAACTTTCATTTTTATTTTATTATTAAAATGACTTCATCTTTCTATCTCAATCTTTCGAAAGACCTTTCATTAATCTTAGATGATGCCGATGAATATAATGTTATTATTAAAGTTGGTGAAAACGAAAATACAAAAGAATTTCGTGCACATTCAGTAATTTTACGTGCTCGTTCTCCTTATTTTAAAGGAGCTCTTTCATCTTATTGGGTTACAAAAAAGGATGACATGATTATGTTCAATAAGCCAAATATCAAACCAGATATTTTCAACATGATTTTAAGGTAAAAATATTTTTAATTGAATTATATTCTTAGAGTATTTATTAGTAAATTATTTATTTATTTAAAAATAATATACTGTGCACTGTAAATGTATTTATATTAATATTCTATATTTAGGTATATTTATACGGGTGAACTTAATTTGACAGAACAACTGAGTGAGGATATACTTAGACTTTTAATTGCATCTGATGAGCTTCTTCTTGAAGAATTGGTTAAATTTTTACAAGAATACTTAATCGAACAAAGAAAAAATTGGGTTCATGAAAATTTTGTTTTTGTCCTTAATACTGTATGTAGCCTAACAAGTTGCAAGATTTTACAAGATCATTGTTTTGAAACCATTTGTTTTGATCCAGAGTTATTACTCGCTTCAGATAGCTTTCTCAAACTAGACAAAGATATTCTTTATGACCTGCTTGAGCGAGATGACTTATTGATTCAAGAAATTGTTGTTTGGGATCATTTAATTAAATGGGGTATTGAACAAACTCCTGGTTTGGGAAGTTTGAATTGTGACAGAAACAAATGGAATAATGAGGATTATGGAGCATTAAAGGAAACGTTGAATGAATTTATTCCTCTCATTCGATTTACGGAAATTTCTCTTGATGATTTTAATTATAAAATCAAAACATATAAAGATATTATTCCTAATCAAATTTATGAAGAAATTGAAAGATTTTATTACAAAATTACCAAAGATACTTTACCAACAATATTTAATATATCACCTAGAATAGGAAAACTTGATTCAAAAATTATTAAACCTAAACTTGCAAAGATAATTATTAATTGGATTGATAAAAAAGATTCCTTTACCTTACGTTATAAATTTAATCTTATTTATCGTGGTAGTATTGATGGTATTAGTACCGAATCATTTAAAAATAAATGTAAAGGTCAAGTAGAAAGTTTAGTTTTAGTTAAAGTTAAGCAAATAAATAAAATCTTTGGCGGATACAGTTCTATTGGGTTTAATTCGATTGGAGATAGTCTTTTACGTGTTTATAATGGTAATCTACGATTTTATCATTCATCAGATAACTTTGTTTTTTCATTTGAAAACGATGAAGATACTCAAGATATGAAAATAAGTCGTGTGAAAAATCATAATAAGGCTATATACGATTATCACACCACTGGATTTGATTTCGGTTTTAATTCATTGTTTATGTATCATGATCAATGTTTATATGCTAATAATGATGACTTTAATTATGAAAGTAATATAAATACAAATGTAATTCATGATATTGAAGAAATTGAAACATTTATTGTAACTAAACAATAATAATTTTTATTCATGTAATTTATTGAGTTATTTAATAAATAAAATCAAGATTATGAATTTCTTTAATAAAATCATATTTTCAACAATGAGACGTCGAAACTTTTTTTATAATATCAGATATTATAATTTTTTGTTTGCAAAATGTATAGATATAAACATATTATAAGAAATATGTTACGTACGCCCGAAAGATTAAAACTGCATCTGCAATTATTATAATTTGATAAAAAACGAAGTTTAAGTGTCTTTAACTTTGAATTTCAAAGGGCAGAAATAAATCAAACTCGTATTAGCGTTGGATTCAAATATACTGTATGTAAAATATAAACTTAATCATTTAATTAATATAAATATAGCCGAAATTTTCCATTTAATTCTATAAAAAATTCTTAATCCTATAACCGGAATTTTGGCGATTCAAGGACTCTTCAAAATAGGATGTAATTATAGACCATAAATTCAGTCCAAGGACTGGACTACTTGTACCAAGATCCCGTTTAGAACATAATCATCTCGTATGATAATTATCTAACGTTCTTTAAATTTCATTCTTGCTATTTTTAATCCACTTTATAAGCTTTATTTAAACTTTTCCTATAAAAAGTTTCATTTCATCATATTTTCATATTTTTTTTTTATCGTACGACCTGATCAAAACGGAAAAGTTTATCAATAATTTATATAAGTTTATTTTAATAAATTTTATTTTAATATGGCTATTAGAAATTTTTACAAGGAAATACTTTTAATAATTGTAAATTGTAATATTACTTTAATAGTATACTGTAGTTATCCGATGCTATAAGATTTAAATCGTATTTAACCGTATGATAATATCAAATATATTCTATCAAAAAAGTGAGTTTATCATACTATATAGTTAACTTCATGATAAATTAAATATTTTCCCTTATGATTAAGCAAATATTTCAGAATATTAAATATTAAAAATTTATCTTATCTATCAATAAATTCAAATCTTTTAAATGCATTATCCCCGAAAATTCATCCTCCTGATGATTATATTATATTTATCTTCATAATATTTGATTAATACCATATAACTAATCATGTTGTGATTGATTATGTCACAACCCGTGATTTTTTTATCATTCTAAAGTTCTATAAAATGTGATACAAACAGATCAGCCTCAACATCATGGCTCTTCATGATAATCAAATAATATCTATGGCTTACTGTAACAACAATTGCTTTTTTCTCCAAATTATTTTACAATAATTCATCTTGATAATTCTCTAAACTTCTCTGATTAAAAGATTTTATACAACAATATTAAATATTGTAAAAATAGATCAACAATTTGAATTGTATCATGGTAACATAAATAACATATAAGATTATTAGACGCTTAAATTCGTCTGTTGCATTTTATTATGTAACAAATGATTTTCAGTGGCTGTAATGATATTATGTAAAAAAATATTTTGCCAAGCTGGTAAAATGATTATGTAAAAAAAACTTTACTAAGCCAATAAAATGAGGCTTATAAATAATTTTAATATAAATAATTGCTTTTGGACTCAAATTTTTTTTTTTTGTCTTTCCCTTTTTTACTTTTTTTTACTTACAAAATACTTGCATACTTATTTGTCTATATGATGATCACCTATATAATGTTTTGAATAAATTATATATTCTAATTTAAAAATAAATTATAATGCACCTTTCAATAACATTGATATAAACTAAATGCCTAATCTATTCAACGTTATCATTCCGTATTTATCTAACGGCATGAAACAACTTATAACAAATAAAAAAATTGAATCGCCTCTATTTGATGATTTATCTTTTGCAGAAGTATCACTGTAATGGCTATAGATAATATATTAATTAGCAAACAAGGATCAGGATTAAAATTGCAGGACATACAACAACAATTATTTCATTGAATAGCAAATTTGACAAGTGACCAGGCATTCTGAAAATAACAAAATAGATGATTTAAATATGTTAAATAAATTATTGAGTGAATATATATGTTCAATATTTCAACTAAACATAAAAAAAATTATTTTTAGAGTTGATAAGGAACAATTGTTAACAGCATATACCATTAAGACCTTTCCATTGCTGTGTCCATTACCTTAATTATGAAATTAAGACCTTTTAAAGAAAAAGCCAAATATATTAATGAACTATTAGTTCAACACTCCAAAATTTCTATATTTCTATAAATTTATTAATATTAATTTAAGTACAGTATCTGTTGCACTATCTTATAAAACTATTAGCATTTAAAGAAAAACCAATTAATATATGAACTATAAGATAATTATGTTTAATACTTTATTTATTCCTTGTATTGAAATTAAAAAAGAAATCAAAGTTTCAGATATACTATGCTATAATACACTATTCCAATATGGCTAGTTATTATAATGTTGAACATTGAGAATTTATTAACGATCTGCTTTAAGCTTAAAGAATATTATACTTGTAAATATTCTATTCTTATTTCACTACCATCAGAGCATAATACTTCAAATTTTGAAGTTATTTGTTGAAATTTATTATGATAACTTTGGAATTTTCTAGTATACTTATATAACTAATAATACTTTAACTTTATTCAACCAAGGTGATACTAGATATAAAAATCTATCTGGATATTATGTACTACAAAATATTTTTAATTATCATTTCCAGATCTTATGATTCGTGTATTTTTTCGCAATAAATGGGAAGAAATTATATATGTTGAGATTGGAAAATGGAATTGTGATGATGAAAAAATTCGTAGTGATCATAATAAACTGGTGCAACTCTGTATGGATGGTAGTAATAAACTTTTTAAAATATGTGAAAAAGAACCTCTTAATAGAAATTATATAGGGTTTGGTGTCAATATCGCAGGTGAATGTATTGAAATATATGGATTGGTACATGAAAAAGGCGTCAAGTACTACTTTCCAGTTTCAAGAGCAAAAATACCCTTTCGCAAAGAATCAGCACAAGAAGTGCAAATAGTTGGCACTATATATTATTTTTATAATATAAGAACCTAATAGAATGCATCATCATCATCATGGATCTAAAGTAATGCAGGAAGTAAGATAAAATAAAAGTTTAAGTTACCTACCAATGCTTATTATGCACTCAATGATTAAAGCAAAGAATTCCAGCTCTCATTTTCGCATATTTCTTAGGACAACTCATAGAACAAAAGGAATGATTTAAACTTTTTTAATATCAAATTGAAATACAAAAAAACTTTAGGAATCAGTGCAGATGTCTTAACTATGGTAGTTCTGGCTCTTACTAGTCACTTATCTAGGAAGTAATTTCAACCAATTCTTACACAAAAATATAATAAGAGTATATATGTATAATACAAATTAACTGTCAAGAACATCATAGGCAACTTGACTGTAGTATAGCCAGACTAACAGTCAACAAATATCAAAATTTATGAGAGTAATGATTTTTGTAATCAAATTAATCCTTAATGAAATTTATTTAACACAAGAAAAGAAAGAGCTATGGGTTCTAATATAAGACATATCCAAAGCTTACCTGATAATGAGAATTAACATCATGAACTGTTTAGATATACAAAAATTATGAAGAGGTCAGATCTATTCAATGGTCACTTTTGCAAGTTTCTGATTCTCTTGCTGTATCAATATTAACATTTCTTTATTTTTTTTTTTATAAAACCACAAGTATTTTTAAGATAAATGTTCCCTCACTTTAATTTTTTTCTTGATAAGATAATGTTGTACAAAATAAATCTGACCAACAAAACTCATCAAGTCACATTAATGAAAATTTTTTGGTGGTGTTCTTGACATCTTATAGTGCTATTGATGGATGACTTAATTCAACCAATTTAGAAAATTTGAATGATCTACCATGTCTAACTCTTTTACTACAGTTTGTTTAATTATAAGTAAATCTCTACAAAAAAATTATGCAAATGGTACTGCTGCATATCATTTTACTCCAAAATTACAAAATTTCTTAAAATACTTTGACTATAAGTCATTTGGCAATGAGGCTAATAAAAACATAAAGTTATAGTGAAATTTAAATGGCATTTAAGATGGCATTCTATTAAAGCAGATAATTTTAGACTGATAATAGTGATAATAAAGAAGTTGACAATACAAATGTCAGTGAAAAGAAAAAATACAAGCAAATAAGTCCTGAACATCAATCACAAAACAGTAATAATCAATGCTTATTTTTCATTTTATATTAATTAATTTTTACTTTTACTTTAGATTATAGTGAAAATAAATTTAATTAGAAATTAATTAGTTACATATACAATTAACCCACTTTATAGGCACCTCTTATATAAGAACTCCCCTTCTTAAGACACACATTTTTTGGCCCAATTTTTATATATATATGTTCAACACTGAATTATAGAGTATATGTAAAATTAATTATTTTGCATGAATAAATTTGGTTTGTAATTGAACACTAAATACATGGTTTACAACTACTAATAATGAGAAATTTATAAATATTTAAATTTTCAATAGCTTTAAAGCTACTTTTTGCTTTTATTGTTTATACTAACTATATCAGGAAATAACTATAAATATAAATTTACAATAACAATTTAATAAATATACTATAAGGTTGCAAACGGTATATGCATTAATAAGTATAGGTGGCCTTTATTATAATTTTTTTTATTGTAAGCTAATGGGAATTAAGGAATTCCTATCATAAATTTTTCTTGCCTAAGTGATACCAATTTTTTATATTAACAATCTATCATTATTTATAAAGATCTTTTACTTGATTTAAAAAATTTTTGCTTAATGAAATTCCAAATAACTTTAATGTCATCAGCTCTTGAAAATGTGAGTAAAAAAGTTTTAAATTATTGATTTTGATTTCTCATGTTGATAATTAGATAATTTACAAAAAAAATTGATTTATTTAAATTACAAACTAAGAAACATGTAAATATTTTACTACTTTAGCTTTAGTGTTTAAATAAATCTAAAAAGAACAAAATAAAAATCAATTTCTGTTGAATGCATGATATAAAATATCAACTAGTTAAGAATTTTTTTAAAAATACAATTGATTGGTTAATTTTCATCTGTTTTAATATATAAATAATTAATTAAATAAAATTAACTTCATATAAATAATTAATTTTTTATATATATTATATAACATACCTAATGACTTCAAATCTTTAATTATATAATCATTCAAGTTATCACTTACTAGCACTTCATTCACATTTACACTAGCTTGTGAATCTTCAGACTTCAAATCTTTAATTATATATTCATTCAAGTTATCACTTACTAACAATTCATTCACATTTACACTAGCTTGTGAATCTTCAGTTTCAAGATTTTCATTCAATTTTTTACTATTGAAATCAAGTAAGCGACTTGTATAATGTGCTTGTGGATGAGATTCAGTATCAAGATCATTATGCCAAATTGGTGCATTTATAAATTCCATAACATTGTGTTTTAATTCTTCACTAATATCTTTGATTTCTTTTTCAAAAGGAAGATAAATCCATTCTTCAATAATATTTGAAACTTCTTCAGAAGTTGGCCTTTTTAATGGATCTTCATTCCAACACTTTTTCATCAAATCTACATAACATTGCGGAGTATTTTGAATAATTTCAGGACGTTCACCTTTACAAATACTTAAACTAAGTTGAATATCATGTTCTCTATTACTAAATGGTGATACTCCAGATGTAAATTCCCACATGATCATAGAAAAACTATATATATCACTAGCTGGAGTATGAGAATTGCCTCTTAAAATTTCAGGTGCCATAAATGGTACAACACCATAAATATCATATTTTTTCAAAAATGATTTTGCAGGTCGACATAATCCTAAATCACTAATATAAATTTTATCCTCATTTATAACATTATGATTTAAAATATTACCATCATGAAAATCACAATGAATAAGATTTTGTTTATGTATCTTATCAAGACCAGAAATAATATCATTCAACATATGTAATTTTTGTTTCCAATCATTTTTGATTATTTTTGTTAAATTTCCTCTTAAATTACCTTTGTTTGCATAATCCAATACAACCATATAATTCGAAGTATCTGGATTTTTTGTAAATCCATAGAATTTAATAATGTCATTTGAATCTAAACAACTTTCATGAAATCTCCACTATAAATTAAATAACAATAATACATTAGGATAAAATAAATTATAATTTTTTTTAAAAAAATAAATAAGAATAAATTATCATACTTCATTTAAAAATTCATTTAAATTGTCATTTAAATTCTCATGACATTTAAGAACAACATCTCTATTTTCATCATTATTACCTAACCAAATAGCTTTATATATAACACCAAATCCTCCTTTATCAAGATATTCAACATTTTTAAATTTATTATAAGGAATCCATTTTAATCTTTTTTCAGAAATAAATTCATCAATAATCGTATTTCCACTTTTTCCAAATCTATATAAATTTGAATATATTGAAGTTTAAATTATTTAATATAAAATTTAAAATTATAAAAAAAATGGTAATAATAATATCACACTTACTCTAAAATTTAATTAGGATTTAATAGTCGAATATATATAAACTTAGTTTCTGTATAAATATACATTTATAATAACCCATAATTAATAACTTACCAACTAAAGTAACAAATAAAGAATTCAGTTAACTAAAATTATAACTGAAATAAACATTATATAAATAAAACAATGGAAATAACTAATAACTCACATGCTATAGCATATTATTAAATAAAAGAATTTAGTTAGTTTAAATTGTATGTAAATATTATATAAATATGTAATAATAGAATAAAATGAATAATTTGTAACTTACAATCTATTAAATAAAGAAATTAGTTAGTTTAAATTAATGTAAATATTATATAAATAAGTAATAATAAAATTAAATAACTCACCTCCTATATTATTAAATAATATTTTAAATAAAGAATTTAATTAGTTAATATACATATAAATATATTATAATATGTAATAACAAAATTCAATAAATAATTTATAACCTACCAACTAAAAGAAATTACCAAATAATTTTTTAATAAAAGAATTTTGTTTAATTTAAATAATATGCAAATATTATACAAATATGCGATAGAATTAAATAAATGACTTATAACTTACTAACTAAAAGTAATCACCAAAAATAAAGAATTAGCTAGTTTAAATTATACAAATACATTTTTATAAAGATGTGATAATAGAATTAAAAAAATAACTTACGAGCTATATTAAACAATTTTTTAAATAAAGAATTTAGTCAATCCAAAAATTAAACGCAAATATTATGACAATAGAATTAAAAAAAACTTACCCCCTATATTATTAAATTTTTTTAATATAGAATTTGGTTAGCTCAGCTTATATACAATATTATATAAATATGTAATAATAAATTACTTACCCCCTATGTTATAAATAAAGAATTTAGTTAGCTCAAATTATTTATAAATACGTTATAGTAATAGAATTAAATATATAACTTGTAACTTACCAACTAAAGAAATTATAATCAAACAGTTTTTTAAATAAAAAATTTAATTAGTTTAAATTATATGCAAATATTATATAAATATGTAATAATCTAAATAACATACGAACTATATTAAATAATTTTTAAATAAAGAATTTAGTTAGTTTAAATTATATATAACCATTATAATAATAAAATTAAATAAATAACTTACTCCCTATAATGTTAAATAATTTTTTATAAATAAAGTAGTTTTAGTTGTAATTAACATATGAGTATTATATACTGTACGGTTAAATAAATTTATAAATAACTTACTTCCTGCATTAATTTAAAAAATTATAATTAGTTTAAATCATATATATAAATTTATATATATATTATGTAAAATATGTAATAATAAAATTAAATATTAACTCACCCCCTATATTATTAAATAATTTAGAATTATGTTAGTCTAAATTATATGCACGTATTTTATAAATATGCAATAATAGAATTAAACAAATAACTTACGAACTATATTATTAAATAATAAAGAATTTATTTAGTTAAATCGTATATAAATATTATATGAATATGTAATAATAGAATAAAATAAGTAACTTACGAGCTATATTATTAAATAATTTCAAATAAAGAATTGTTAGGTTGTATTATATGTAAATATTATATATATGTATATAATAATGGAATTAAATAAGTAACTTACACACTATATTATTAAATTAATCAAGAATTTAGTTAGTTAAAATTATATTTAAATATTATATATATTAGAATTAAATAAGTAACTTACCAGCTATATATTATTAATAATTGTTTTAATAAAGAAATTAATTAGTTAAATTATATAAGTATCTTAAAATATGTAATAATAGAATTAAATAGTAAGTAACTTATAACTTACGTTCTAAATAATTTACAAATAATTTTTTAAATAAAAAAATTTAGTTGATATGCAAATATATTATAATATGTAATAATAGAATTAGGTAAATAACTTACGAACTATATTATTAAATAAATAAAAAATTTAGTTAGTTAAATTATTGTTATATGCATATATATATTTTAATATGAATAATGAAATTAAATAAATAACTTACGGACTATATTATTGTGTAATTAAGAATTTAGTTAATTTAAATTATATGTAAATATATTATAAATATATAATAATAGAATTAAATAAATAACTTACCAACTATATTAATAAATGATTTTTTTGAATAAAGAATTTAGTTAGTGCAATTTATATATAAATATGCAATAATAGAATTAAATAAATAACTTACATTCTATATTATTAAATAAATTTTAAATGTTAGTTTAAATTATTATAAATATTATTAAGTAATAATGAAATTAAATAATAAATAACTTACTCCCTATATATTTAATAAATAAAGAATTTGATTAGTTCAAATTATATGAAAATATGCAATAGTAGAATTAAATAAATAATTTATAACTTACGTTCTAAATAAATTCCAATTTTTAAATAGAAAATTTATTAGTTTTAAACTATATGTAAATATTATATTAATAAAATTTAGTAAATTACTTATAACTTACCAACTAAAGAATTTACCAAATAATTTTCAAATAAATGATTTTAGTTAGTTTAAATTATATAAATAATAGAAATATTTGATAACATATAACTTACACCCTGTAGTATTATTAATTATTTAATTAGTTAAATATTAGCATAATATAAAAACATACTGTAAATTAAATATATCACTTACAATCTAATCATTTAAATGAAAATATATAATTAGTTGAGTTGTATAAAATATTAAACGAATAAATATAATACCAATAATTATTATAACTTACCATCTGTAATATTATTAATAATTAATAATTATTTAAACAAAAATTTAGATATTTCAATGTTATGTAAAATAAAGTAAAAAACTAATGATTTAAATAACAAATAACTTACCAACTATAGTATTATTAATTATTAAATGAATTATTTAATTATATGAAATATAACAAAAATAAGTTAATTCCGTTATTATTCAATTATAAGATAACTATTAACTTACGAGCTAAATTATTTAATATAATATTATTAAATAAGAACATAGTTAGTTTAAATTAATGTAAAAGTTACATTATTATAATTATGGTATCATTTACAAATAATTTTTTAATATTTTATATTGTTTAATATCATTATAGTTACCTTTAGATTCCTTGGTACTACTTGAAACTGTTGAAATTTGATTAAAATTTTAGAATAATGCTAATTTGTATTAAATGTTCATGTATTGTGTCTTTTACCTTTGTGAGCCATTGCTATAAAAAAGAATGCAAATATTTTTTTGTTTTCCAGGCAATAATATTTATGCAAAAATACATGTGTTGATAAGTGCTGCATGTACAACAAACAAAGCTGAACAGATGCGATCCGAAACCTGTCTATCCGGATAATCCGCCTTAAATCCGATCCGAACCCCAGATAGCGGATAATTTTCTGCCGTCACGGATAAAATCCGGATTAATCCGCCAGATAATCCTTTATCCGTTTATTACCCGTTGTACTGTATATATATATACAATATAATTAGAGAAACAATACTGTTCAAAAAATCGCAACGTCCGAGTCACGTGATTTAATGCCGGCCGGCACTACAAATGTTTTGCCAACACTAGGATTGATTTCGGATATTCGGATATCTGCAATCGGGATATACGATAGTACAATTTTATACAACACTGATATCTGATAAATTTGTGAGTTTTCAACCCGCGACGGACTATCTATAGATTTCCGGATCGCATCTTTATCATTGTGGCGTAGCAAGAATCACGAAACAGAGAAAAAATCATTAAGTAGAGGCTTATTTAGGTGATAAAGCTAATTTTTGAATTTTATATCTGAATTTTGACTTACTGTATTTTTCCGCCTTAAACTGATCGGTAATGATGATGATATTACTATGGGATTGTAAAGCTTTATTTTAAAAAATATTTATGAAAGTATTATGCCACAAGGAAAACCTGATACACATTAGAATATGCACATATTGATGACATTGTTTGAATAAGGTGAAGGTGCATGAGACAATTTTTTTTAAGACAAGGCTATTTTAAGAGAGGAAAAAATATCAGTCACCCGCATAACGAAAAAACTTAACTTTATTTAATGGTTGACATTTGAAATCTTTCTTCTATTTCATCTTAGATTTTATTATCAATTATATACTAATTTTATTCTAACGTGCCACGGCATTTTTTTTTTCTTTGCTTAAGTTGCATCAACAAAACGAGATTTGATCGAGAATAACAATAACATTATATTTGTATTTATTATTATTGCTATTATTATTACTTTTAATAAATAAATTAGACCAAAATACGTGACTTGATAAATAATGAACCTTTTGTGCATATAATTTTAATCCTATTATAAATATAGGTTTAATTTGGACTTTTATCACACTAAACGTTAATGCGATAACCCGTGACCAGAACTGCAGATCATTTTACCAGAATTAGGTTGATAATTTCGCCGAAAAAGATTTCTTGTAACATGTAACCATTCTATCTGAAAAATCACTGATAAAATTACTATCAAAAAAAACATAGGTGTACAACAGACGTCAAATAAATTACCGGAGACTGACTTTTCCCAATCGTACATGCAGTTATTGTACAAAGCACTTTATACGTTGACATTACAACCCTTTAACTGTCCTGAGAGGTACAATACATGACGGCATCTTTTTCGTACGAAAAAAAAAAAAGAAAAAATTATAAATTTTTGTATAAGAAAATTTTCGGAGAGTGGAAAGAAATATTGTCGAATTTTTTTTTTTTGATTAAAAAATTTTTATTTTCGTGATGTGACGCATAGTTTTAGAAAAGAAATATTTATTTATTACCTAATAGCATAAATACATTTGCAGAAAAATAATATATAATTGTAAAGAAAAAGAATAAATAAAATTTAACTTTATAAAATTTTCTAAAATTTATCCTCCAATTCTTCTATAAAACTTACTTCACTATTAATAACCAAATCTTTATATTTTTGAATTTTGATATCATATAACTCAAATTCCTTCACTTCATTTTTCAATGAAAACAATTCCTTTTTAACATAGTTTCTAATAGTTGATGTACCATCTGAGAAATAATTAATAATAGCCAAATATTTGACTCTTTTCTTTTTCATAATATATTCTTTTATATAAGATATAATAAAATCATAAATATCATGACCTTTCTTATCATTAATTCCCCCATTTTTGATTAACAATTTTTTAATAAAAGTATTCTGAGAATTTTTTAAGAATATTTCAAGATCATTTATATATTTAATATTAAGAGTCAAATTTAAATATTCTAATTTAAGAGGAAGTATTTGATCTAAATTTCGTAATATTGATGAACTAAGTTCAATATCTTTTGAAGATAAATTATTAGAGACACTGATAGAAAGATAATTAAGATTTTGTTTTGCATTTTCAGTTATATTGAATAACGGATGAATAATCCAATTTTTAAATAAAGTAAAACTAAGAAATTTGATATTTTCACAATATTTTGTAATTAATTCAATTTGTTGATCTTGTTGATTACATAAGAAAAGAAAACCAAATCTAATTCCAAAATTTTCTATAGAATCACCATATTTTTGTAATAATTGTAATAATTCATCAAATTGTAATTTTTCATTTAAGAATAAAGATTTTAACTTAATTGGTTTAGTTAAGTTAATTATTTGTTGAATAAAATTACTATCTAAAGTACAATAAATGATATGAACAGTTTCCAAAACATTTAATTGTTTAAATGCTTTGTCTAAATTGGTTATACCTCCAAAATTGATGCTATATAAAATGATTGTATTTAAAGTATTTGAATGATTATGATCTTTTGATAATAACAATGATTTATACAAAGGAAAAATAAAAAAACCTAATAATGTAATTTTTTTAAGATTTTGATGTAAATTAATCGTTTGTAATATAAGATTTTGAGTAGTATGTGCAAATACGGAACTCATAAAATGGAGATTTAAATTTTTAATATTATGAAAAAAATCTGGGGTTTGTAACATTAATTCAAGGACATCATCTAAACAGGCATCATAGTAATAATAATGGCTGACTTGAATTTCAAAAGTATGTATGTTTACTTCATTTTCAATAAATATTTTAATTAATGATATAAGAATTAATCTCTTAAATTTAGTTACTGAATTATTTTCAATATTTAAGTTTTCAATAACATTGTTAGACCATTTTCTAATAGAAGAAATAATCTTTGGTGTATATAAATATTTTAAAAGAGTGGGATAATTAAAAAGTGTATTTGAAGAATATAAATTATCATCAATTTTATACTCTTCTTTTAATTTTGCTTTTAATTCATCATTTAAATCATGTAAATATATTCCAATAAAGTTATAATTTTGTGTAGGAATAGAAAATGGATTTTCCCATAATAATGGAATTGATAAACGACACCATAATCTATTAACTAAAATACATGAATGTAATGTTGAAAAATCATTCCTAAAATATTTTATAATTTCATGTGTTAATTCGGGCAAATCTGAAAATATTTTTGAATATGACATTGTAAACGAAGGGAGAAAAAAGGAATGTAATATTGTAACACATTTTAGCAATTATATTTAATTCGGAAACTTCGGAATGTTAATTTTCCGGTATTGTCGCACAATTTGGGTGGTGTTACATGTTAATAATAGAGCGTAAAAATGTTGTGATCGCGATGATGATCACCGAAAATTATAATACTAGACCTTTTTTTTAATTTCATTTATACTTATTTGATTCTTTAAATAAAAAAGTATTTCAACAGTGTGAAATAGAATATTCTATGCAGAGTAAATATATAATGGTGTAGTTAGCCGAAAAATTCAGCCGAAGGCGCAGTAAATTTTCGGCTAACAACACCCAGCCGACCTGACGTTTTTTCCTTAAAAAATTTAAAAAGATCATTTTTTAATGAAAAACACCGAATCCGACGTTTTGTCATTAAAAAAAAATTAAAAAGATCTTTTTATTAATGAAAGAAGCTGAACCTGACGTTGTTTCATTAAAATAATTTAAAAAGATTGTGTAAAAAATGCCAAACCTAACGTTGCGGGTATTATTCAACTTTGAACCAGATTTTTTGTATATGACCCGGAGTATCTTAATCAGTGCAGTATGGTACAATGATTTTTATCAATCTAAAAATCTGAATCATTAATATAGATCAAATTTTGTTTAGTATTAGTTTATCAATATCGTTTCAGGTCATCGCTATAAAATTATAATATTTGAAAGGCAAAGGTTTGATTCTCATTATTGATTTATATAATATTGATAATTCATCTTTATAGTTTATTCTGTACATATTTTTTATTTAATTTCAGTGGAATTTTATGATATTCATTTATATAAAGTACATGAAAGTAAATAAATATTTTAAATTATGCTATTCCATAATTAGACGAAACTAATTGAAGAGTATATTCCAAATAAAAAAAATAACATACTAATTTTTATTAAAAAATGATTTTATGTCATTAAGGACAAAATTTTAATTTTCCAAGAATCTTAATATTTCATTCCATTTAAGCATTAGTAAATTTTATTATTCTTTTTAGTAATTTTTGTAATTACATACAATAATACTTTCTAATGAAGTATTTTTTAAAATTAATTTTTTAAATTAAATTAAATGATTTTTTTTTTTTTTTAACATATTTAAAACTAAGCTCACTAACTGTACTTAAAGAGCCCTAGTAATGTTACAATAATAGCGCAGCCAAATAATAATCTTCATATTGATACACAGTTCAAAAATGTGAAAAATGCTGCGCCGTTCGAAAATGCTAGTCAATAAATAACAAAGAAAACGTTTTTTACCATTTTTATTTAAAAATGCCGCGAAAACGTTTATTAATAAATAATATATTAATAAAAAAGTGGTTTGCAGCATTTTTATAACATTTTTAATAAAATAATGTGATATTTTTTGATGGGTATTACTAATGGTGATTATCACCACTTAATTCCCGGCCAAAAATTACAATTTGGCCAGAGTTATAAAATGCCAATTTATACTAATTTTGGCCAGAGTTAAAAAATACTGATCGCAAAATTTTAACTTAAATAATAAATATGTTAACAAATATTGATTTGGTGTTAACTATGACAAAATTTTGAAATTTTGTCAAAAATAACTTTTAGTAAAGTGAAAAAATTAAAAAATCATAACTTTACATTTTTCTCAAAATTATCTGAAAAATCGCTTCTTCTCATAAATTTACATATAAAACAACAACTGTTTAATTTAATATTAATCTTATAAATTCAAAAAATCGGACTGGTGAAAATCACCACTGGACATTCTCTTTTTTGATAACAATTTAAAAAAAAAATGCTACGCTACGTTCTTTGATAATAATTTGATTAAAAAACGTTTTACTAAATTTATATTCATACATTTTTATTATATATAAATTATAACTAAATAAAATATAACAGATAATATTTAAAGGCTCACTAACTTATACTTAATTACTCTAGTTAAAGATAGCAAATTACTACTTTTAATTAGATGCAAAATTTTGATGTGAAATCATGGGTTTCTGCAAAGTTTCATATTAAAGTAAACTTTTCTTGTTAAAAATCTTATTACAATGCGTTAGTTATTTCATGTTTCCGATACACAACATTTATCATAGAAGACATGATATGAAATTCGGCAACAGTTTTTTTGCTTTATCAATTACATAGCAAATCAAATTACAATACACTTAAATCAAACACTTGCACATCTCCAAATAAATATTCCTACTTTATCAAACAAAAAACATTGTATGTGTATAATGAAATATTTCATCCTATTTAAAATAACTACTATAACTATTATAACTATTATAATGAAAAAATGTATTACATAAAAGGGCAAGTTTTATTACTATTTTATTTTATCAATATAAAATGTAAACCCACTTGCCTATCCATAGACTTATTCCCTATTTACCACAAACTTCCAAATTAATACTAATAACCATTCTATACTTTATATAGCAGTTTAGCAGAAAGGCAACTAATTTTCATAATTTTAATTAGCCATGCCTGCGTGAAACGCGGGCATCCAGCTAGTTACATAATAAATTATTTCAATATTCAAAAAGAAATTAATATTCAAGACATTAAACATTTTGCTTAATTTTGAAAATCACTTTTAAAAAAATTAAACCTGTTTTAAAAACAATCAATTCTTGAGTACATGTCACGGAGTGTCTTCGGTATAAGTTTCATTGGTAAATAATTAACTATTTTATCTATAAGTAAAATCGCTCCAAGTACGTGGGTTCATAATTTGTCTTTCATACTTATTAATATCAGTTACTAAATTTTTAACATCCTTGAACTGTTTGTGTCCATCGTTTATTCGTTTATTAACAATATTTTCTTATTTCTTCTACAATTTCACGTAGTATTAATTTGTAATCTTTAAATAGTTGAATTTTTGATCGTTAAACATCGTAAGTTTAGGTAGATTCATAATCATTCATTTCATTCGTTATATTATTTAATACATTCATCTAAACAAAAAAAATAATTATTTTTGGTAATATTAATATGCATAAGATAATTATTATTATTTAAATAACCTTTTTGAATTAGAAAATGGATCTTGAATTGATTCTTCAGCTGATAAAAATATAAACACTCCGTGTTCATGTCGCAATTACTTTTTCGTTACCTTTTTAACGTTATTATAGGGACAAAAAACATAATTTTTAACGATCTCATAACGTATACATTATAAAGATTCTTTTTAAAATGACAAAAAAAGTGGAGGTTTTCAATACATGGAGAATAAATTATTATTTCTTTGACTATTATAAAGAATACCGATTCATGATTAGCTTTTTGAAATAAGGATATGTTCATAAACTGGTAAAATCGAGTCTTTTGAGAAGTTTCTTTTTCCTTGGATCAGATTTATGTGGAACCTTGATGGAAAGTGGAAATACATCATACATCATAAAAGTTTAATTTACTATAACAGATAATTTATTGTAATTTTATCAAAATCATGTGATATGTAATAATCACATGATTTACGCAGAAGTTAGTCGCAGGTACAAAAATTTAGAATTCGCTATAGACAATGGCCTCTATTTATTTGAATAATATGAAGAACTATGTAAAATACATGTAATAAGCTTGCAAACGAAAATTTGCAATTGTGGAATAAATTAGAGCAAATTATCAGTTCTTCAAAGAAATAAGTAAAGAGGTAAAACAATTACTAACTGATGCAAAAAATGTTATGATTCTTGAGTAACAGATAGTATACCTGAAGGGTACCTATACAATGAATTCAGAATCTAGCGACAGAGTTGGAAAGTCTTAAGTTACAATATCTTGATATACAATCCACCGCATCACAACAACATATGCATGGGGCGAATTGAGCGTACTTAATTTGAGATCAAAAGAATTAGATTCCATTTTAACTTTAAAAATAACAGAAATAGATACCTAAAATTTGAATTTTCATTAAAGATACGGGAATTACATAATTGTGAAATGAAACTTTCCTCAAAGCCATTTGATTTACAGATTGTTAAATCTGAACATGATATTCGTAGCCGATATGGCTGAGCAGACTTCAGTAAAGAATATTAGACGCAAAGTACCATTCCCAAGTAACAGAATAAGAAACGTTTGGCATTCAAGGGAGAAGTATCACTGGATTTTCATTTTTTCGTATACCAGAATCCTCTAGTTTTATGTTGCCAATACATCACTTTAAATGTGTTAAATGTGATAAAGAATTCTCACAAAAATGAAAAAACGTATAAGCTCAATAGTGTAAACTATAACTCGTTTATTACGATAATTAAATAGTATGTAACACATAGTAATATACAGTATCAATTACAAATTATTTTTCTTAAGATCGATATTTTAATAATAAAATTATTAATTTAGTTCGAACTTCGAAACTATTAAATTTCAAAATTGTGCAGCCATCTTTCAGATTCAATTTCATAAATTACTCTGTTAAATTATCATTATTACCGACTCACCATACACGGTCACGGTGTAAATAAACATTTGTTGAATATAATGTACCACTTAATTTGACCAATAAAATAATATAAAAACACCTTTGTGCCAAAATTAGAATTGGACTTATTAAATTGGAACAACTCATATTCTTTCTGTATAAGATTCTGATTTCTATACGAGGGCTTTATGTGGAACTGGTCGATTGTGAGAAAGCAAACTTTAAACGCAGTAACACACTCTTGATGCGCATCAGATGACTAATACTGCATTAACCCTTTAAGGATATAATAAAATGTTCGTCATCTGTGTGCAGATCGTCATCTGACACACAACAAAAACATTGATATTTTGTTTATTTTCTACTAAAAATATAAATTATATTTTAAAATTAATAAAGAAAAGTGATAGAGTAAATCAAAATAATAACATACAATAGTTGCCGTTATGAAACTGCGCAAAAAATTCACAAATATTCACTTTACAATGATATAAATGCGTTATCTAATCTATTATTTACTTTCAGGGGTGAGAAAATCAGAAAAATTTAAAATCAAATGGTTAGTACATTTTGGTCAAAAGTAATTCCATAAGGAAAAGTAAACATAGGAATATCAAGTTTTTATCCGCCATAATAGGGAATGGGCTGATGTCAATTACATTGATCAACATTGATCAACTTTTGATTATTTTATATCTTCCTTACCTCTTTACTATAATTAGTTTTATTAATTGCCAATTTCATAATCTATCATTTGTTAGAGATCGAAATTTTATTCATAATCTAAGATTATAATTCTCATCTGAAGATAAAGAAGTTAAGAAGTTTCGACACTACGTTTATTTATGGTAAATAGGAATCAATAAATAAAATCATTTACTCCAAACGTGAAAAATTTTTATATATATATGTATGTATACGGGTCTCAGGGTTTTTTCTTAACAAAAAATTTAAAAAATCCAAAAAAAATAGAAAATTTTTTTAAAAAAACCAAAAAAAAAAAATCCATTTTGAGCGGTAGCTCCATTCTTTTTTCCTTAATACAAAATGGACGTCTGATATAGACTTCATTTTATTTTTTTCCTTAATACAAGATGAACGGGCATTTACGCCCTAATTTTATTTTTTTGTCATTATACTACATTTTTTTACGAAACCCTTTATACGTCTTTTGCGTATACCCATTTTATACGTTAGTGCGTTTGATAAAACCAAATTTTTAAATTCGCCATCCGGCAAGCTTAAGAAGCACAGTTCTCTTTATTCTTTATACCAGAAATGGACTTTGTCACAAAAAAAAAAAAAGAATAGGGGTCGCGAATNTTTTTTTTTTTTTTTTTAACTATTTGTTTAGCTTGTCCTCTCAAAAACTTCTCCAGAATACAACTTCACGTATATTCTTAGCAGATCATTATTTTAAAGAACCCAAACTAAAACTCAGTCATGAATTCGTCTCGCACGATTCATTCTATTATTATTTTAACCTTTCTCGTAGGGGTCTCTCCTCGAGGTAATTATAACAGAATTCTTATAAAAAAATGTAATGTATTACACATCACTAACGATTCTATTTATTCATTTATTCATTTATTCACGATTATTCTTAGCGGATCACACACCAAAACTCAGTCTAAATTCGCCTTAATAAAAACGCCAGATAACTACCTCTCATAACACTTGGAACAAAAGAAATAACCTTTTACAGTACATACAGACAAAACATTTTCAGAAAAAAAAAAAAAAGAAAATGTGAAAGTTTGGGGTCGTGATGGTTTTTTTTTTAACATAGCTCGTCCTTTTCGGGGACTTCAAGTTTGTCAATAACTAACAGTATTCGCATCTGCGATACAGTAACTTTACCATCTCCATCCCGCAAGCCAAGGAAGCATAGGATCTTTCTCGGGTTTCTTTATTCCAAGTTGTTACATAACCTTTCCCGCCAGTTCGATTAATGAAGATATACTCCCATTACTTTGATTCCTAAAGTCAAGGTAATAACAACAGAATTCTTATAAAACAAATGTATTACACGATTATATTTATTTATTTTATTATTTTTAAAAAAACATAGGAAAAGTCTCTCTCAGACACTTAGAAAAAAAGAAATGGACCTTTTACATAAAAAATAAAATCGTTTTCATTTTTTTTTTTTTTTTTTAAAAAAAAAAAAAAAAAAATAAAAAAACTTTATTATAGTCCACAAATTCTTTACTCGTCCTTTATGGGGATTAAAGTATTTTTGTCAATAACCAATCAGTACGCCGCTTGTCCGGGGTACTGTTCATTTGTTAATAAAATTTGTAACATATTGCATTTTACTATAAATTATTAATGTGCATTTTACCCTGTTTTACCTGTAAATGTATAAATGATTCATATTTGTGATTTCTTATCCGAGACAAAAGATACGATATCAATGTGTCAGATACTTAATTCTTTAAAAAGCCCGAATCCTGAAATATTTCTAATACTTCTGAACTGGTCAAATGGCATGACATCATGCGGATAAACTTGCCCTTTATTATATTGCTGCGGTTTTATAATCCAGATTAAATTTTATTTTGGTTGCGGACAACGTTAAGATATTGTATTCCATTCTAATTCTGGCCAATTTATAATATAGAGTCAATTTATTATGGTTTATTATGGATTTTTTAAAGTTTTATGACAGCACAAAGTATATTAAATACAATGTCTTAAAATAATTTACAGATCTTTAAAAAAATTATAAGGGCCAGTCCTCGTTTAATGACCGTGAAGGACAAGTATGGGATAAAATATTATTATTATTAATAACGTACTAATAATTTTAAACTATTATTCCTTATTTATAATTATTTTTTACTAAATTTTAATATAAATTATTTTAAACGTTATAACGAATAAAAATTATTGGTATATCAACTCTTTTTTCTTTTAACAAGTCATTTGAGATTACAAAAATTAGTCATCATTTAGGAAAAATATCTATAAAATTAAATTTATTTAAAGAAAATGTTCAAAATCATCCATTATCATCAAATAGTTTATAATTATAATAAAATGTTAGGTGTAATAATGTATATTTCTTAATTTACTTTGTTGTAGTGGTGTAAGGACTGTAAGGTTTAATATATGTGCGATCGCCCTTTAATAATTAGCAAGGCGTAGCAAAATTTATTTAAGTGTCATAAATTATCTTTGTGTGATAATAATACAAACCTTAATAAATAAGTTTCACAACGGTTCTTTATTTCACATGTCTTTATATCTAATTACGGAAATAATCAGGAGAAAATGGATTTTAGGCTTTTTTCACAAGCAAATTAGGAATAAATAATAAAAATTCATTATTTCCTTATTTTTTTTAAAAAAAAAATTATTTGCAAAAATAATTTCCTTTTTTAGGATCAAAAGAGTCGTACCTTAACTTACATGACTCACATATTATAAATAACTTATAAGGACATCCTTCTCACATTTTATCATTATAAATCTTTTTTAACAAACGAAATGGCTCTTAAAAGAATTCAAAGAGTTAAGTAACATGAAATGGTTCTCGTGTAATGAATTTAAAATTAATATAATTGAAAACGCTGTACGTTAAAAAAAAAAGAGTGTACAATAACAAAGTTGTCCATTATGATAAGAAAGAATATTCTTTTTTTAAGAATTTTTTGCATTATCAACTCGGATTCTTTGGGACAAATTATTTATTAAATTACTTTTATTCTTTACATACATATTTCCTATTAGGAATTGCTAGAATTACAACATGACCCGCCATCATGTTGTAGTGCTGGTCCTATTGGAAATGATATTTTTAAATGGGAAGCAAAAATTATAGGACCCGTATGTTGAATATAAGTCAAATTCATGTGATTTTATCTGCATAGACGAAACATAACTAATTCAATCCAACTACTTTTCTTAATTAGCCTGATACTCCATACTCAGGTGGTGTATTTTCCCTTGATATTCGCTTTCCTACGGATTATCCCTTTAAACCACCAAAGGTATATTTATAATTGAAGTTTAAGTTTTGTACATTTTAATAATTTATTAAAATATTTATGATATATTGTAAACACAGGTGAATTTTATAACAAAGATCTACCATCCGAATATTAATGATAGAGGAAATATATGTTTGGATATTCTAAAAGAAAACTGGTCACCAGCGTTAAATATTTCAAATGGTAAATATCCATAAAAAAAAATAATTATGATGATTTCATGCAAACAAAATTTAATCAAACCTTTTATCCTTTTTTAAGTTCTTTTGTCAATAACATCAATTTTCACCGATCCAAATCCAGGTATGTAACAATAAATTTTCAGCTGCTATTCTTTGTTCAAATATAATATTAAATATATATGCTTAATTAGATGATCCACTTGTACCTGAAATTGCTCAAGAGTACAAACATAATCGTGCTCGTTATGAAGCTAATGCTCGAGAATGGACTCGCAAATTTGCTAGTTAGATAATTTTACTTTAGTTTTATTGATATGGTATCATTTTTATTACGAAATTTCTCGTTTTCAATATTAGGTAATTAATAGATTTATCCGTCTATATCCTATTTGTACGACTTATATAATGAAAATAAATTAAATGATTGTGCGTTGCGTACTACTTAAATATAATTAAAGTCAATAGTTAAATATTTTGACAAACTCCATACAGACAAATGAATATCAAGAAATAATTTTGATCGACTGTCTCGTTGTAGATAACTCTGATGGTAACATCAAAAAGTTGATATTTAGCATTATGTTACGTATACAATACCAATAATATAAGCCTACGTTTACCTATGCCATTAAATTATATCAAGTACTTTGCCACAATATTCATTGGAAAAAAAAAATGCGTTATAAATGTTATACTTTCAATTTATTCAATTTGTTTTCATTAATGTGAAAATTCAAAGTATTTATAAAAATTGAAAAAATATAACTCCTTACAATATTTTAAAATAAACTTTTTAAAATTAATTGAAAAAAGTGAATATCAAAGCTTTTTTAGCTAATTTTCATGATCATTTCAATTATTTCGACCACAGTATCAGGTTAATAATTAAATAAAGTTTATTTTATTACCAAGTAACTTTATATTTATTAAAACTATGATTTTAAAGCTAAACGTTATCCTGCTAAATGTTTTCCTAATTTACCGTCTGTCGAGTGCCTTTATCTTTGATTGAATAGGTTTAGGTATAATTAGGTTTAATTTAAGTTAAAATTTATAAAACTATGGTGGTCGTGATAAGTACAGAAAAATTAGATAATATATGTCACCATAATTATTTTCTTCTATAGATGGAATAAGTCATTAAAATAAATTCTATTTTTTTAAAGTTGACGTCGCACAAAGAACGATAATGATCTTTATTAAGGCTGAAATAATTAGCAAAGATCCAGCTGGATTATATTAATATATATTATTAGAAAGAACAAAAAACTTTGAAGTAAATACCTTTGAAATTCTATCTAAAGATCGTTAATTTGTATACAGTACATATGGAATGTTTACAATCAATATGACAAAAATAAAGCAAAATGATAAAATAATAATAATAATAATAATAATTCAGCTAAAAAACATTTTTATTTTTTAATCTCTTTTCTCTTCACTCTTGCTCATTGACCCAATTATGAATCCATTTTTTAGCTTTTTCAGAAATAGCATTTCTTTTTACATCATTTTCAACCATTTTCTTTAAAGCTTTTTCAGCTTTTTCATAACACATTTCACATTCATCTTTAAAGTTTTCAAACATAATTATTTCAAGATATTTCATAGAAATACAAGTACTTAATACCTCTTCAATTTCCTTAATTTCTCCAATTTCCTCTTTAATTTCTTGTTTTAAATCATTTAAATCATTTTTATAAAAAAAATTGTAAAATGATTCATTTGGTAAGAATTTACCATTAAAAGATTGTAATCCTAAAAATTCAAATAGATTTTTAATATTTGGTTCTTTATGATTAATTTTAATTTCGAGCTGAGAAGCTAGAGAATCTGGTAGCTTTGTGGGAGCTTTTCCACCTGTTGATTTTCTGGCAGTATACCTAATTCTTCCAACTGTGGTAGTTGTTCCACCCGTTGATTTTCTGGCAGTTTGCTTAACTCTTGTGGAGCGCCTAGCTGTGGTAGTTGTTCCACCTGTTGCTTTTCTGGCAGTTCGCTTAATTCTCGTGGAGCGTCTTAAGGTACTATCTATTTATTGAATATTTGTTAAAAAAATATTTTCATTTTTTTTAATTATAAATAATTTAAAAAAAATGATTTCTTTACCATCATCATCATCACGTAATATTTGTCGATGCCTTTTAGCACCACCAACACCAACTATGTAATAAATATTATTAATTAGAATTTTTCCATTAAAAAATAAAAAATTTTTAAGAATTGTTTATAAAATACACGAAAAACAACATAATTTTTTTTTAAAGATTATTATTGAAAAATTGATACAAACGTTGTTTTCCTACGTGAGAACCAGATGCGGGAACAGATTGGGGGACATATATTTGCTTTGGTTTAATAAGAACTTCATTAGGTTCACTAGTCCTTTCATCAATTCCAATAAAACTGGTAAAAAAAAAATTAAATAAATAAATAAATATTATATGGATATTTACGTTTATATAACATAATCATAATAAAGATTTAAAATTTTTTACCTTGTATATTTTGATGCTAAATTAAAAGTTTTACCAAGTTTAATAATATTATCTTTAACCAATGAATCTGGAATATTTTTACCGACATTTTTAGGATTTTTATGAAGAAATGATATTTTATCATCAAGATCTTGAATAAGTTTTCTTGCTGCTAATCTATGAATAATTGAACCTTGTAATGTAACAGGATCCAAAGGAATATCAAGTTTCATGGGACCATCTTGAGAAGTAGCTTTTAAAGAAATAACTTTACATGGCTCGATGTTTTTTTTCAAAATACAATAAACAATAAAACGAACGCCAGGATATATTGGTGGAATGAAATATGGAACTTGTTGAACTTTAAAATCAATAAAGATATCACTTGTTGATGATGATACATTATCACTCGTAAAATTAATATCTTGAATCATATCTGGTTCTTAATCTTTAGTTGATTCTAAGAAATTATTGTCAGTCCAAGTAATTTCATAATCCTTGATTGGTGGTTTCAATGCATTCTTTAACATTCCAATAACTTTTTTGTCCATCCTTTCACTATTTGTTACAAATTGAGCATATACTTTACCAGTACGAGCAACAGACTCGACTAAGTGATGAGAAACCGCATCACCAATTCCTAAAGAGAAAAGACGTAGGTCACTAATCTTTTTTTCTTCATTTATACGTATAAGTTCTACAATCTGATTAACATTCCAAACTTCACCATCTGTAATAAGAAATACAGTAGTTGGCATATCATTTCTTGAATTTTCAAATGTCCATTTTAGTGCATTATAAAATTCTGTCCCTCCATAATATGCAGACATCGTTTGAGCAAGATTAATAGCTTCAGATAATGATTCTTCAGAATAAAGTTGACTTTTAGAGAAAAGAGAATCATGATGACTTCCAAATGAAACTACATTAAAGTAACAATCTTCAGAAATTGAACGTAATAATAATTCAAGTGCTTCCGCAGCTTTCTTCATAGGTTCACCAGACATTGAACCCGATCTATCCCATATTAACCAAAAAAAAGAAATTTATATATATTATCGATGTTAATTGAATTCAATAAAGTTATCACGCGTAATTTGAATTATATCATACCTATCAACGACAAAAATTAGTTCAGTAAAAGTTGTATTCAATGAAAATTTCGGAACCAAAGTTAACATAACACAGTTAGTTTGCGTTTCGGGATTGTATTCAAGGAAAGCACTAAAAGATACAAGAAAATTAAATAATTAATTATATTTAAGAATGAATTAATAACAAATAGATAATATAAATATTTGTATTTACCGTGGTTGATCAAGATCTTTACTTTTAATTACAAGAATAAAATCTTTTTCTAAATAAGTGATTTGATCAACTAAAGTGATCTTTGAAATTTTAGGATTTTCGTCAATATTCATTTCAGTAGAAATTTTATGTGAAGGTGATTCAATATTTTGAATAATTGAAGTCATTCTACAAGTAACAGTGAGATCTAAATAAAAATTAGCTTCTTTAGAATATAACACGGAATCAGGCTTAAGAATTTTCCCGTAATCTGAGGATGATGTTGAAGTAGAAGAACCATATCTTGGCGCGATATAAGTTGGAAGAACAAATCTGATTTTTTCTGTTTCAGAGTCATGTTTAAGTTCCGAAACATACGTAATCTTTACGACTATAGTTTGTCCAGATTTAATATTTCCAATAGAACATTGAAATACGTCTGCAGATTCAGATTCTAACAAATATGCGCCATGCCCTTTCTAATCAATTTGAGAAAAACAACTTAAATGTAAATATATGTAAATATATGAATAAATAATACTTTATATTAAAAATTAGTTTTTTAAAAGTATTTTTACCTCTATTGCTTCGGTATATTCTTTTGCGGCTTTATTTGCTTCTTTTACGATACCTTTTACTTTCCTTTGTCCATCAATATCTGCTTCAAATCCGCAGACTGCTGCAGCTTCATGAATGGGAAATTTATATCGAGCTTCAATAGGATCTTTTTCAATATTTTTATAAGTTTGGCAGATTGTAACTTTATAAGAGAAAAAAAAGAATTAAAATATTTGCCTAAATATATATATATGAGTTATTCTACTAAGTTTAACAAACCTTCAGTTATCATGTCAACAACTATAATCGTTAAGTGAATTTTAGAATATTAAAAATTAATCGATTACATAATAACTAAACCAGACTTATCAGATTAAACTTACTATTAGCTTTAACTACAACATTTTGTAAAGGAATTGGAGTTTCTTTATTCTTAATTACACAACACAGGCCGTAAAATTGCATCTTGAAAAGTAATATAATAAATAAATAAGGGAGGGAATATATTTTTTTTAAGAATTATTTTATTGGGAATGAAAAGAGCGGTAGTCGATCAAAAACTAACATTAAAATATATTCATTTTCTTGACGATCTTCTGCATCATGCTATGTCATAGATTGTCACTCGAATTAAATTTTAACATTTCCCGATATAGTTAACAATTACTAATTATTTCAGTGTTCGGCAAATGACTTGAAATGACCAAATAATTCAAATGACAAATGACAAATGACCTTAATGTAATTTTGGCCAGCATTATAATTTTTGCCTACACTACATTCATTATTTTTTAATTATAGTCACATGATTATTTATGTGATAAATATTAGCCAATCAAAATCAAATGATTGAAATGACCCAAATGACAAATGATTATGAATAATGACAAATGATTTCATAAATCATTTAAAAGGTCAAATGACCAGGTCATTTACACTGAATAATCGATCGTTAACACCAAAATTAAAACCTTGAAAAATCTTACGAATATAATAATTGCGACTGGCTTTTGTACGTTGTTATGCCATGAAAACGATCATTACCTAACATTAAAATAACTGGCAAGTATAAATATTCGTAAATTTTCCAATTTACTCATTTGCAAAGATTCCCTTTTTGATATTTTCATTTAAAAATAAAAATGAAAAATATTTATTCTCTTAATCGATTCATTTTGTTTTAATCGTAAATGTTAACATGTGAAAAATATTATAGTGTTTCTCTTTGTAATAAATGTCAAGAGGAAGTCTAGAATTTTGGACAAGATCCGTCAACATGCACATTTTTCACAACCATTTCGTGAAAGTTCAATATGATCATGATACTTTAATTATAACTTTACTTCTTATGATAAAGCAGTAAAAAAGCTTTGTTCAATTAAATATTTATGTATTTACGAACTACGAAGAAGATAAGCAAAATTTGTAAAGGGATAGAAGAAAATTGCGCTAATTAATTACCACTTACGCATCACTTGATAATGATACTGTTGTCGTATCTTACACCTCTTTATTACTCTTTTATTTTGCTATACCTAAATATCACAAATGTGGGAGTAAGTTCAGTTTACAATTTGGGTTTATTTTTTTTTCCTATTATACTAATATGATTAATGAATCAATTGTTCTTTTCTCATTGCAATTATCTGTAAAAACCTTCCTATCCCTGTAAAAAAAGCCAATCCGTTTTTATTATTCCATCTTTTTTCCGTAAAAAGCTCATATTTCCGGAATTAGTAACTTTATATCACGGAATTTATCGAATTATTGCATTTTCCGTGAATGGATACGTGAAAGGCTCATTTTCACGGAGTTTTTACAGAAATAACGGAGAAAATTTTTTATAGGGGCATTACCATTTTGTTTAAGTTCCATATGTCTATATGATTCATCAACTATGTAAATCTCTCTAGCTAACTAATAAAGCAATTTTACTAATGTTATAATAATTAAATTGATACTTATAATTGAATATTCATGAGTCAAAAGCAATAATAATACTAAAAGTGGTTAATTTATGTAAGTAATTAATAAAATTAAAATATTATAAGAAATGTTTCATATTGTAATAAACTCAGCCATAGTCATGGGATTTCTGCGCACTGCATCATGTGAATTGTTCGATCTTCAACAACTCCCCCAGCGTAACCATCAAAAAAAGCTCGGGCACGTGATTCATGTGATTTGACTGCGGCTAAGTGTGGCTATGGAAATTGCAATACGCAGTTATTGCTAAATTAACTTCCTAAAGTCAACACTAACTCCAAAAGTAAAAGTTTCAGCCTAAACTTACCTTCCTTACCTAACCCTAAGATACTCCAATGTCTACGTTATTTTCAAGGATAAGTATTTCCGCCTAAAACAACTTTCCTTACCTAACCCTAAGAAACTCAAACATCTACGTTATCTTCAAGGATATGTATTTCCGCCTAAAACAACTTTCCTTACCCTAATCCTAAGATACTCCAACGTCAATGTTATCTTCAAAGATAAGTATTTCAGCCTAAAGTAACTTTCCTTACCCTAAGATACTCCACTCCAAAGATGATTGCTTGAGAATATAATGAAATTTTATAGATGTTAATTCATAAAAGTAAAACAAATTCTTTTAAATTAATAAATTATTGTAATTATTTTATTTAATATTAATTTGACAATAAAATTTATTCAATTTTAATTTATTAAAATACATTAATTTAATTTAAATAATGAGTGCTATCAATATGCCTTCCATGTTATGGCATGGTTCACTTATTTTGCCTTACTAATTTTTGATGCAGACTAGTTTTGCTTTTCTAGAAGAGAAGGTAGCATTAATTAGGCTGTCAAATAACAGTTGCAAATTAGTTTGTTGAACTGGTATTATTGCTTACTTGGTGATTTCCAAGATATTAGGTTTATTCTACAGGTTTCATATTTTCTGCAAGTAGCTATTGTAAATAAAATAAGCCAACTTTTTTTTTTAAAATAAAAATTTGTATTCTTTGGTAATGTAGACGCGAAAAGAAAAAAAAGCTTAAATAATAGCTTAAATAATACGCGATAAATATTTAAATAGATTAGTTGCCACAAACTGCGCCGTATATAACCTGTCTCTTATACACATCTAGATGTGTATAAGAGACAGGAATAACCCTAACAATAATTTTAAATAATTCTATCTAAGCAAAAATTTTGGTAACGTTATCAATACGAGAATTAGGAGGAAATAAATCTGGTCAGTATCTGTTTTAACTTTGACTGTATTAATTTGAGTGTTAAGTTTATAAAATTTTTGAGACTGGAAGTCCGGAATAAAATAATAATTTTTACAATAGACAAATTCTGTTAGAAATGTTATCAATCAGCTTAAGTTGACACAATAGAGCTTAAGCTTAAAATAAGCTTTTCAATTGAGCTTACCTTAGCAAGTAACCTATTTTAAAAAAACTTGAGCTTAATATTATAAAAAAAAAAAAAACAATATTGGTGATAATAAAGAAAATGATTTCTCATATTATATTGACAATTAAACAACTAATAACTTGTCAAGTGAAAACTCTTTACAAATAACAGATAACCCACTAGTTGATAAACATAAATAGATAGCCCAGACATACTAAAAATGTATATAAATAATTCATAATTATTCTAAACTTTTGATTTTTCCTCTGACTATTTATCTTTACTTTCATCTTCTATTGATATCCTACAAAATAAATAATATTTAACATATATCTCATAAGTAAAAAAAAAAAAAGACATAACATACTTCGTAAAATCAAAAATTTCTACTGAATTATTATTAATATCATCATATTTTGAAAGATCTTCGGTAAATGGATTAAGAAGTCGAGAAGTATAACAAGCTTGTGAATTTTGAGTAGTTAATTTGCTATTTTTGATTGATAAAAGATTTGCTTTTCTATATTCTTCTGCTTCCTCAAATTGTTTCCCAATTTTCTCATCTTCTATCATATCTTCTGATGCATTGCAAGATTTACAAAATAATTCAATCAATTCACTTACTTCAATAGCATTTGGCCTATTATCTGGATTTGAATCCCAACACCTTTTCATTAAGTCAATATAACAGTTTGGAGCTTCCTTTTCATTTATTTCAGGTCTAATTCCATTACATATCTTTAATACTAAAATATTATCATGAGCACAATTGGCAAAAGGTTGTTTCGTAGTTGCTACAAAATACATAATCATACCAAAACTATATATATCTGCTGCTTGAGTATAAGGTTTTCCTTTCAATACTTCAGGTGCTACAAAAGGCATAACTCCATAAATTTTTGTTTGATCTATATTACTAACTTCTCCACATAATCCCATATCTGAAATATATATGTCACTTTTACAATTGCCAGAAAGTGCATATGTTGAGTTATTAAATGATGCTAATAATATATTTCCAGTATGAAAATCACGATGAACCATTTTATTTTCATGAATTTTTTTTAGACCTTCAATAATATTTTTTAATGTTATCAATCTTTCAAACCAAAACCAATTTATAATATCATTAATATAATTATCAAAATTTCCATTCTTTGCATATTGAAGAATCATAATATAATCTTTTGTATTTGGATTTTGTGATATTCCATATATTTGAAGAATATGTTTATCATTGTTAATAAAGTAATTTTTAACCTAATAAAAATAAAAGGTTATTATATTGTAAAAGATTAGTTAATTTAAAGATAAATTCATACCTCACTTAAAAATTCATCAGTAATATTTTGTGAATTATTTAAACATTTTAAAACAACTTCTTTATTAGGTTCCCTTTTATATTCCTTTTTATTATAGTCATATCTTAATGGACCATCCATCCATATTGCTGAATATACTGTGGCAAACCCACCTTTTCCTATTTCTTTAATATAATTTAACTGGTCATATGGTATCCATTCAACTATTGTATCATCAAATTTACTAATTTTTAATTGCATTTTTTGAATAAAATTATCAATTTTTTCATTTCCACTAGTCCACTTTGCAAAATTTTCTTTTAAAATATTTACTTGACATAACATACACCATCTTCTCCTACCTATATATATCTCACCACAGGTTTTACAATAATTATCTATATATGACACTATAATATAATCTTTTATAACTGGATCTTGGGATATTCCATATATTCCATCATTATAATAATTATGAAAAGTATATGATTTAATCTGTTAAATATATAAAATGTTATTGAAGTACTCAAATTAAGCTACACAAAATTAAAATTTTATACCTCATTTAAAAATTTATTGATAATATTTTGTGATTGATATTTCAAAATAACTTCTTTATTGGGCACTCTTTCCCACATTATTTTAGAAGTATCATATTTTAATGGACCATCCATCCATATTGCTGAATATAGTGTACCAGAACTATTCTTATTTAATTCTTTAATTTCAATAAACTGGTTATAAGGTATCCATTCGACTATTATCATTGTGTTATGATAAGGGTCAATTTTCAATTGCATTTCTTGAATGAGTTCATCAATTTTTTCATTTCCACTGGTCCAGCTTGTAAAATTTTGTTTTAATTTATTTATTTGACATGGCGTACAGAATGTACAGTTCTTATATGTATATACTTTGCCACAGTATTTGCAATAATCATCTTGAAATACCATAATATAATCATTTGTATCTGGATTTTGGGTTATTCCATATATTTTTGGAATATCATTCATCATATTATATCTATCAATATGTAATTTAGCCTGTTAAAACAATATTATAATAAACAAGTATTTTTAAAAATTAAATTACAGAAGAAATTATTGAATTACAAAAAAGAAAATAGAATTTCATACCTCATTTAAAAATTCATTGACAATACTTTGTGAATTACACAACCACTTTAATACAACTTTCTCATTAGGTACTCTTTTCCATGGCTTTCTTGTATCATGTTTATATTCTAATGGCCCATCCATCCATATTGCTGAATATAATAATGTAGTAGAATCATCTTTGCCTATTTGCTTAATATCATTAAACCGGATATAAGGTATCCATTCAAAAAATGTACCATGTTTACTAACATTTGCTAATTGCATTTCTTGGATGAATTCATCAATTTTTTCATTTCCGCTGGTCCAATCACTTTTAATAAAACATAGACAAATTTTACACATATTTGTATATATTTTGCCACAGTATTCGCAATAATCATATTGAAATACTATAATATAATCTTTTGTTTCTGGATTTTGGGTTATTCCATATATTTTAAAAATATCTTTTTCGTGGGTTTTAATAGTATATGAATTGACCTATTAATAAAACATTTATATACGTGAAAAGTAATTATAATAAAAGTACTACTTTAAAAATTAAATTACAAAGAATTTAAATTTTCATACCTCATTTAAAAATTCATTGGTGATACTTTGTGAATTATATAAACACTTTAAAGAAACTTTTTTATTAGGCTTCTTTATCCATTCCTTTTTATTACTACTATATCTATTATATTCTAATGGGCCATCTATCCATATTGCTGAATATAGTGCAGTGGAATCATCTCTGCCTATTTCTTTGATGTCTTTAAATTGATTATATGGTATCCATTCAACTATTGTATCATAATCATGATTAATTTTTAATTGCATTTCTTGAATTAATTCATCAATTTTTTCGTTTCCACTGGTCCAGTTTTTAAAATTATTTCTTAAATTATCTATTTGGCATGGTTTGCACCACTTACCATATCTCTCCGTATATAATTTACCACAATATTTACATACAAAATCGTCTTGAGATAACATGATTCTGAATTAAAAAAAATTAAAAAATAAAGGATTATTTAAATAGAAAAAATTATTTAATGGTGATCAGCATAAACAAATTACGTGATTGTACAAATAAAATTTGTTCATGTTAACATCATTTTTTTTTTTGCGCTAAGATTGTAAGTCAATTTATTAAAGTAAAAACAGTCACGTTGACGTCATTTTGACATCATGAAAAACAAATATAATTTAATTTGCTGATCAGAGTAGATTTACGTCATTTTGACATCAAATATAATTTAATTTGCTGATCAGAGTAGATTTGGTATGAAAATTTGTTGATCCTATTTTTGGTATTAGCAATTTGATCGGTCAAGATTAGTTTGTCATTATCAAAATATGGGGCACAATTTTTTTCCGAAAGTATTATAGTACTTAATATAGTACTAGACAGGAAAAGACAGGACAGGGACAGAACTCTTTAAACCACAATTTTGTGATTTAGAGCTTCCTGTGGTACTTTTATGTCATATTAAATTTAACCATCAAATTGTAAAAAAATATTTTTTTTTTCAACCGCATAACACGAAAACAAAAAAATTTTTTTTTTTTTTGGAATAAAAAAACTTTTCAATTTATTAAAGTTTGATTTTTTAAATTTAATTAATTTTATATAATTCATATTTAAGTTTATGAGATTTTAAAAATTTTACAAATGCCAATTTTCTTTTTTAGCACTTTAATAAGAAAAAATATATACTTAAATTCAATAAACACCATTATTTTACTGTTTCATTATTAATTTTGTACTGAGTGCTCATGGTATTTGCTTTGAGTAGTGCAATATTATATTTAAAAAAAATGTAGCAAAACATTCTTTAATAATAAAATATCAAAAAAACGGTGCAAAACATTTTTTTTAATATATTATTATGAAAAATGTACCGAACCAGACATAGGTCATGAATAGGGTCTTATAGGGACCTATATGCCCGAAACTCCGATATACTTATCAGTTGAATTTAAAAGTAGTAAAATAAAATAACCAATTCTATCTCTATTTGAATCATTTTATTACAGTTATTGCATAATTACTGTTTCATAAATTCATTGTCTCTTTTGTTTCATATTATTTTATTATAATTGAACTAAAATCCCGCTTCAGAATAAGTTATGGTCGGTTAAAAATTGGTTAAACGGTCAGTTAAACGGTCGGTTATACCATTTTACTTAAATAATTGGTTAAATGGTCAGTTAAATGGTTAAAAATGGTCAGTCAAATGTTAAAACGGTCGGTTAAATGGCGGTTAAATGGTCGGTTAAACGGTTATGATCATAACCGTTGCCATCTCTAGTCATGAATTTGATACATGACCCGTAAGTTATTAAGAAAATGTTTTGGCATTTTTTCTTGAAAATTTTATATAAAAATGCTAAAACTTTTTATATTCAAATTATTAAGGAAAAAGTTAAAAAAAAAAAAATTTTATTTTCCCATTTCTTTTAATGAAAAAACGTCGTTTTTAAATTAAAAAAAACGTTCTTTATTTCTTTTAATAAAAAAACGTCTGGTTTGGCGTTTTATAATTAAAAAATGTTTTTATTTCTTTTGATGAAAAAACGTCAGGTTCGACGTTTTTTAACTAAAAAAACATTTTTTTTTATTTCTTTTAATGAAAAAACGTCAGATTTGACGCTTTTTTAATGTCTAAATATAAATTATTATCAGTTATATAGGCAAGATAACACGATAAGCATTTTTTTGAAAACAAGGTGTTTCAACATAATCATCTCCTCAATGAATACAATTGCTATCACCCTCATTAAATGAAACAAATGGAATCGGTAAGGGACTAGATCTTAATTTTGGTGTTGGATTGAAAGAATTATCATTTAATATCTTTATAAGCTCCATTTTATTATTATGTTATGTTATAGTATAAATAATTATCGATAAAAAATATAGAAAATTACAAGCATATTTATAATTATAGAACTTTCTGTTTGTGCTATGGCCTATGGAAAGTATTTCTAGATTTTCATATGCATGGAATTTTAAAGAATTTACCATTGTACTACAGAAAGTATTTCGAATTGCTTTATCGAAAGGTAAATTCATGACATTCACTTTATATACAGTATATCTCCAATCCTTAATTGAAAAAAGCAATAGCGTCATTGCATAATGGTAGTTAAAGAAAAAGAAAAAGAATAAAAAAGCGAAGAAATATGGAAGAATTACTGTTTGAATAATAATATAAAAATTTTTTACAAAATCGTTTAAAAATATATATCAGTTAATATAGCGATTTTAACTGAAATATTTCCAAAAAGCAATAAATTAATTATTTTGCTTAAGCGACGAATCGCCACTCAACAGGAGAAATTTAATAATTCCGATTTACGCAAATTATTCTTTTTAACATAGTATTATATTAATTAAAATGTTCATATTTCGGGACTAGTAAAAGTTTAAATACACTTACTGTAACACAAGAGTTATCGCTAAAATCGGTTTTTTACTGGATCATCATCTCATCATGTGATAATTGTGATATGCAAATTTTTTAGTAATTAAGACTTGTAGAGTTTGAAGTCTTCGACTTCACTATGGAGGAACGTAAGATTCTGACCGTAAATTTTCAGTTAATTCAAATTTTAATGAATCATTTCGACAAAAAATAAATTAATTATAGTTCTTATTTAGTTAAACCTTTATTTAGTTTTAGTTGTTATTTTTTTAATCTTTTATATTTGCATGGTTCCCACCAGTTTTATACATATATCCCATAGTGCGAGTTTTTAAAGTAATTCTTTAGCCAAAAGTGTTACTGTATACTGTTTTTTTTGTTCATTAAAAAAGTTAGAACACGAAATTCCAAAAATTTTTTTTTATCAATAACGAAGCCCGTAAAATTAATTATAGATTACCGATCATTTTCTCTTGTTGAGTGCCGAACTATCGTATTCAGAACTTCTCGCAAATATAAAATGTATTTCATAATTAGTTAATTCCAGTAATTTCACTGTCAAATAACTAATTAAATATTAAGAGATAATTTTTGATATTTAAATTGTTTTTATTAATTTTTTATTTTTTTTGGGTAGTATCGTACTAAAGCTCACACTAGCGGTGACGGTCACCATACTTTTTAGAAAAATTTAAATCGATAAATTTTTGATTTTATTTTTAATGTGCGTCATTAAAATTCGTAATGATTATTTTTTGGTATTAAAAGGTTTAAATCATCCCCATTTTTACCCATCGATCCAATTTGATAATATAGCAGCTTGTTTTGAATTTAATGTAACGGAATCAATAAAACCTCTTACTTCTTGGTACATTTGGATTCCAATTTTGGTTTCAGCTTCAATAAAATGATGTGTTAACGTCATGGAGGAATTATTGATTTATCAGGTCTAATCTTTTCATAAGTTTCTCTTAAATCTTCAATATTCTTATCTATCCATTTATTTATATTAATAATATTAGATACACCTCTCGTATTTTCTTTTCCTCATCTAATTAAAAAATCCCAAATATCGTCCTCTTCTATATATAAATTATCCAAATTTAACATTAAAGAAAGAATTCTTTTTTTTTAATTTTAATGAATCCTTTGATTTAAAATAATTTAGCTTCAACGCAAATGTAAGAAATGCAAAAATTTTGTAATTTTCTAGAATTTTCTAATCTAAAAATATTTATATTTATGACGGTAGGAAATTTTCTATTAACCACACCTTATGATTTTCTACGAGATATTCTTGAATATAGGTTTAATTTTGATGATGTGATCAATAATCCAAAAGTATCTTCCCCTGAAGTTGATCCCAAATCAATAATTCCCGTATACATGTACCTTAAAAGAAGTAAGGAGTAAAAAATTTTAGTTTTTTTTCGTAAAAGTAATAGAGTGAGATGCGTTAAAATTTGTTTTTTTTTCGTAAAAGTACCGTAATAAATAAAATTATATTTTACCTTAGGACCATAGAGAAGGCGTATAGAGTAATATTCGTAACGGTAATACGTAAAATAATCATACTTATATTTCTTTTCGCAATATTTTTCCTGGTTTAAGTAATAATATATTCGGATTTTTTTTTTTTTTTTACAACTCGCGTAAGCGCATTTTTTTTATTAGTACGTGAAGTGTGATTTGGATACAAATTACAAAGAATAAAAAAATCTGAAAAAAAGAAATACATAGAAATTGATGGCGTCAAGCACCAACAATCTCTCCATACCGGGCGCTTCGGCCTACCGCTCGGTCAACACACGACCACCTCAAAATACTACTCAACTACAATTAAAATAATTTAATGTGCTATAGCGATTAGCGAAACTACTTGTTTACATGTCTACGTCTACCTCCCCTACCTTTACTATGACTACTGGGTTTACCTCCGCTTTTTTTATTGACACTTACTGTCCGCCCTTCACCGTCACTCTCTTCCTCTTCCGCTTTACTTCTATCTCCTTATTTACCTATAATCCGCTTTTTGCCTTCTTTTATTTCTTTAATATATTCGGATTTTGCGTATAATATTATCAGAATGTGCATTATATTACTATCATTTTCTCCCATAACTTCTATTGTAACATCAGAAATATAGCAAGGTTTTTCTAATAAATAAGAAAAATTGTTGGAAAATTTGGTCATTTTTCATTTTCATTTTTTTTTTTTGAAAAAAAAAGCGATAAAAAATTTTATAAAAAAAAGGTCGATGCATTTTTTTAAAAAAAAATTTATTAAGAAAAAAAGGAAATATTTATTTTAAGAAAAAAAAAAAATTTTTTTTTTCGTATAATTTTTTTTTTCGGATTAGTTAATTAATATTATGTGCACTTGGGGTATTGAACAAAAAAATCACCGCATCACCGTACCACCGTACCAGCATTAGCAAATATTCCAAAATTCTACCCTAATTCTGATAACACTAGTGGTGATATATATATACTGTATAATTATATTATTTAAAACTAAACGCATGGTTACGAGAATAAATCTATCGGCTGAATTTGTATACACACTTATTTAGAAATTCATTATCATGTATTTCCTTTTTGTGATTTGTGTTTTAAAATTTTATTTTTATTTATCAAGTACATGTCATACGATTGCATAGCCTATTGTAACATAGGTGTATATATTGTGTCTATTATCATGTTTACTATTTGTTACATAGATGATAATACCTGAGACGTGTCACACTTTAACTTATATCGTGTGTCGCCAACGCTTATTGCAAAAAAAGATAATACGTAAAATTTACGCAATTGTTACGAAGTCTCCTTTTTTATAACGGCATTAAAAATTTTTTTTTTTTTTTCTAAAAAAAAAAAAATCCAATAATGATAATTATAATTTTATTGATTTGCTTTTTCCTAATATTATCATTAGGAATAAAGAAGCTGTGTAAGAAATTTTTATTTGATATTCGTGATACTTCTAACGATCAAAAAAATAGGGTAAATCAAAATTTTATAAACTGGACCAGCGGAAATGAACAAATCGATAATTTTATTAAAGAATTAGGTTCAACAATTGAATGGATACCATATAACCAATTTAATGATTTCAAAGAAATAAGTAAAAATAATTCATTTATTTTATACTCAATAATATGGAAGGATGGTCCACGATATGATGAAAATAAAAAGGAAAGTGAAAGGACTCCTAATAAAAAAGTTGTATTAAAGTATTTATGCAATTCTCAAAATAATATTAATGAATTCTTATACAAGGTAATATGAAAATTAATAATTTTATCGTTAATTTAATTTATAATAATTTTATTATAATGACCTTTTGTTTTATGTATTTTTATATTTTAATAGGTCAAAAAATATTTAAGATATGAACGTAATTATAAAATATATGGAATATCTCAAAATCCGAACACAGAAAATTATATTATGGTTCTTAATGATTATTTTTGTAAAACATGTGGTAAAATATATACAGATGTACATAATGAATGGTGTATATTTTGTCAAATAAATGATATAGAGCAAAATTTTGCAAACTGGACTAGCGGGAATGAAAAAGTCGATGAGACTATTCAAGAAATGCAATTAAAAATTGGAAATATTACAGATATAATATTTAAATGGGTGCCATATGGTCAATTTATTAATATCAAAAAAATAGGAAAAAGTACCTTTACTACAGTACATTCAGCAATATGGACAGATGGTTTAAAATATAATTTTGAAAAACATGAATGGGAAAGAAAGTCTAATAAAAGGGTAACTTTAAAATGCTTATATGATTTACATGGTTTAAAGGAGGTATGAATTTCACCTAAAATTAAGTATTCTTATTCAATATAATGATTTTTTTTTGTTTTTATAGATTAAATCATACACCATCGCCATACTTAGAGGCGTTCCTAAAATATATGGAATAACTCAAAATCCAGATACAAATGATTTTGTTATGGTTCTTCAAGGTAGGATCTATTGTGAAAAATGCGGTGATAAATATACAGTTCTAAAATTTAAATGGTGTAAGCCATGTCAAATAAATGATTTAAAGCAAAATTTTACAAACTGGACCAGCGGAAATGAAAAGATTGATGAATTTATTCAAGAAATGCAATTAAAAATTGAATCAAGCAATGATAGGATTGTTGAATGGATACCATATAACCAGTTTAATGATATAAAAAAAATAGGTAATGATGATATTACTACAATATATACAGCAGTATGGATAAATGGCCCATTAGAATATCATGGTAAAAATAAAAAGGAACAAGAAAGGATCCCTAATGAAAAAGTTATATTAAAGTACTTATATAATTCTCAAAATAATATCAATGAATTCTTAAATGAGGTACTGTGAAGATTTTATTTCTTTGTAATTCAATTTAATAATTATATTATCATACTAATTTTTTGTGCTACGTTATTTAACAGCTTAAATTATTTTTAAATTATAGATTTAATTTTCCTACATTATGTGGGGTATCTCAAAATCCAGATACAAAAGAATATATTATAGTACATCAAGATGGTAGTTATTGTAAAGACTGTGCTGGAGCATTTACAAATATATCTGATAAATGGTGTAAACCATGTCAAATAAGCGTGTTAAAGAAAAATTTTGCAAACTGGACTAGCGGAAATGAAAAGATTGATGAGATTATTCAAGAAGGTCAATTAAAAATTAAAACATACAGTGACAGAATAATTGAATGGATATCATATGACAAATTTAAGAATATCAATGAAATAGGCAAAGATGATTTTGCTGAACTTTATTCAGCAATATGGAAGGACGGTACATTATATTATAATAGTGGTAAAGTAGGATTGATAAAAATTCCTGATAACAAAGTTATGTTGAAACGTTTTTACAATTCACGAGACATTACCAACGAATTTTTTAATGAGGTAGGAAATTTCTAATTTCTTTATAATTCAATTTGGGTACTCATATTAATATTATTTTTTTTTTTACTTAAAGGTTAAATCATCTATCAATAAAAATGAAATATGTGGGATATCTCAAAACCCAACTACTGAAGACTATATTATTGTTTATAAATTTAATAACTATTGTCAAAAATGTGGTTATAAATATATTACATATGGATGGTGTAAAACATGTTATATAAATAATTTAAAATATAATTTTACAACATGGACCAGTGGAAATAAAAAAGTTGATGAATTTATCCAAGAAATGCAATTAAATATTAAGAGTCATAATGATGTAATATTTGAATGGATACCATATAACCAATTTAATGATATCAAGGAAATACACATCGATGACTTTACTACAGTACGTTCAGCAATATGGACTGATGGGCCATTATGTGGATATAACTATGGCTATATATTAAAAAGAAACTTTTACAAAAAAGTTGCCTTAAAGTGTTTACATAATTCTCAAAATAATACCATAGAACTTTTAAATGAGGTAATATAAATTTTATTTCTTTGTAATCCAATTTAAACATAATTTTTATATAGATTATATTAATCCCTATTGTTATATTTAACAGGTTAAATTATATTCTATTAATAAAAATGATAAATCTAACATTAGAATTTATGGGATATCTCAAGATCCAGATACAAAAGATTATATTTTGGTTTTTCAAGATAGTTACTGTGAAAAATGTGGTAAAACGTATGCAAATGCAAATGCGAAAGATCTAAGTTACAAATGGTGTAATCCATGTCACATAGATAATTTAAAACAAAATTTTACAAATTGGACCAGTGGAAATGAAAAAATTGATAATTTCATTCAAACAATGCAATAAGCGATTAGAAGCTGGAATGATATAATAATTGAGTGGATACCATATAACCAGTTTAATGATATTAAAGAAATAGGCAAAGGTACTACACCTTTAATTTTTTTAATCTTATAAATTATAAGTTTCTTCAAAACTAAATTTCCTGATATCTTTATTGTTTCCCAGGTGGTTTTGCAACAGTAAATCTAGCAATATGGATTGATGGTCCATTAAAATATAATAAGGAAAAAAGGGAATGGGATAGGATGCCTAATCAAAAGGTTGCCCTAAAAAGATTGCATAATTCACAAAATATTACTAGGAACTTTTTAAGTGAGGTATATATTTTCTTTTGCATCTAATTAAACAATTCTAAATAATAATGTTTTCATTTTCTAATTTTACTAATAGGTTAAGGCGTACTCTACTTCATATTCTAACCCTATTGATAATAATCCTTTTAATAGTGGTGGAATTCTTAAAATATATGGAATATCTCAAAATCCAGCTACTAAAGATTATATTATAGTTCTTCAATATGCAAATGAAGGAAATTTTGAAAATTATAAAGATGTATCGAAAGATTGGTATTGGTTTGAAAGATTATATATATTAAGAAATATTATTAAAGGCCTTGAAAAAATTCATGAAATTAAAATGGTTCATCGTGATTTTCATACGGGAAATATACTAATGTTATCTGAATGTGCTTATAATACTATGCATTTCGTAAATAATGTATGTATTTCAGATATGGGATTATGTGGAGAAGTTGGTAATATGGATGAAACAAGAGTTTACGGAGTTATGCCTTATATGGCTCCTGAAATACTAAGAGGCAAACCATATACTCAAGCGGCAGATATATATAGTTTTGGTATGATTATGTATTTTGTGGCAACCGGAAGACAACCTTTTAATGATTGTGCTCATGATCAATATTTAGCATTAAATATATGTGATGGGATAAGACCTGAGATAAATGAGCAAGGTGTACCAAAATTTTATATTGATCTAATGAAAAAGTGTTGGGATTCAAATCCAGAAAATAGACCAACTGCTAGTGAAATAGATAAATTGATTGACGTCTATAATCCAGAAAAAGGCAAGGAAATTACAGAGCAAAATGATGAAGCGGATGAATATAGAAAAGCGAATCTTTTATCTATTGAAAATAGTAGACTAACTACTAGTACTCATCCGCGAGCTTATTATACTTCCCGATTACTTAACCCATTTACAAAAGATCTTCCAAAACATGATTCTGAATGTTTAGACTGTTTGATCGACCAAAGTTAGAGAATATTTATTATTTGATCAAGTAGTTAAAATTAAGATTTGAGAAAGAGAAGTTATTTAGTTTATTGGATTTTGGTATTTTAATATTCTTTTAAGATAATATTTAAAATATTAATATTTCTATTTTATTATATTTTTTATTTATTCTTTTTTTACATATTTTATTTTATAAATAAATTAAGTTTGAATTAAACAATTAACGTATAGCGTTGTATATAATTTTTTTTTTTTGTGGTAAAATAAAATACTTTATTAATTATATGATAAAGAACATACAAAAAATTAAAGTAATCCTGAGTTTGATTACAAATAAAAATTTGTAATCTTCCTCAATACCACTCCTTCATCACATCCAATGAAGTTGTAGCGTTTTTTGCATACTAGTACAAAGTAATTAAAACAAAGAAAGAATGAAATTAAATAATCTAACTAATCACTCTTTTTAGAAAAACCTGTACCTAAATCCAAAAAATCTATCATCCCAACCGGGCGAATGTACAACCTTAACCTTAGCTTCTGGTTCTTCTTTAATGACTCTTTTGGAATTTTTCTCTCATTGTCTCACGGTCTTAATTTTTATTGAAGCGCTTATTTATTGCATCGTCCTATCTGATGATTCTCTCACTGTCTAATTTTTTGGGAAATCATTATTAGGACCAGACCGCAGTCTTGCATTTTTTTGTGGCGCAGTAGGACCGTCCTGAGGACTGACCAGTCCTCATACTGGTCTCCATATAATAAATTATTTTTATATTAAATTTAGAGCTAAAAAAAAATTTTTTAATTACAAAAAAAAGAAAAAATACTGACAGTCTTATTGTATATGATACAGGACCGAAAGACCGCAGTCCTACACCAAGACAGACCGGTCCAACGCAGTCCGTCTTTTTAAGGTGTACGACCGTAGGACCATGGTTTTTTAGGACCGATGACCATCTTTACCATGATTTAAGCATTATTAATATTTTATGCTATACCACTTCATTCTTTGATGGCCTTGTTAGTAACAGAACTGATTTTACTCTGTATTTACATGAAATTCTAATTTTTTCCTTTCAAATCTCCTATTTCCGTTTACTTAAATCTCGGAATCTGTTAATTACTTCCACCACTTTTTCCGGTTCCACATAATCTTTAAGATTTTTGTAGTACAATGGTTTTTCTTCGTCCAAGAAACCTTGTCTGTATTATTAACTTCAGTTTCACCAATCTGGACACGCTCTTCCTGATCCTTTTCTATTGTATCACTCTCCTTAGATACAACTATCTTATTCTTGTTGACGTCGGCTGGTATCAGCTGCAGCGGCTCATTTTGCAAAGAAATTATATTGTTAAAAATTTTTCTCTTTTGAGGTATTGTCCACGTCCCATCCAAACCTTCCTTCTTCAAACTTTCTTCAATAGTTGCACCTAATATTACATCATCCTTGAAATATACATAAAAATATCTTTTCCATTAATATATATCGTCTTCCCGAAAAACTATCCATATTCAGAGTATTCGTCCATGATCTCCTGGTCTGATGATTTTTTATGTTCATCCTTAATCGTTTGTACTTCACATAACTATACATCTTACGTATATCAGATAAACTTGTATCTCCTGGAAACCGTTTCTTTCCATCTATGCACATATTGATATTGCTTCTTCCTAACCATGTTGGCGTACGTTCGCTTCTTAATAAATGAATCGTAGTTTTCACTGATTTGTATTTATGTTGAGGTTTAATTGATAGCTTTTTAACTAACCCAAACTTTTTAACACAGTTATTAATTTTTCCTCGTTCCATCTTTAACCCTTCACTTTTAGCTGATTTTCCTTATTCGCTAGCAGATTCGTGGATTCTTTGATCTGCTTCTGCACCTCTTTACGAAGTCCGCAGTATTTTTTCCCATCTTTCTAACGTCTTTAGCGTAAAAACTATATGCTATTTCTTCACAACATTTAAGTAAAAATTCTATGATATCGCTCTTGAGCTCTGTATTTCATCCTAACATTCTATAAGAAGTCATATTCTTTCATCATTTATGGAAATATTCTATCAACTTTTCAGAAAATTCTCTTGGCGAACGATATCCCATGTCTCAAAAATTTCTCTTTAAGAAGTCGCTTGTTTCTTCCAAAATTCTTGAATTGAACTCTCTTCTGGTTAGATACGACTCCATTTCTGCTAATTATTTGTGGAAAAAAAAATGATACTAATTATAGTATATGGGGACACGCACAGCAAAACAAGGGGATAGGATCTAAAAATTTTTTTTTAAGATTTCATTACAACTGTAATTTTTGGATAAATTGGAACATAATTATCATATAAACTTAAGAAATTTTTTTTTGAGGCTATCCCCTTGTTTTGCTGTGCTTATCCCCATATGTCAAAAATAAAAATTTTTTTCTTTCCTAAAAATTTTGGACGAAAGATCGTTGTATATAATTATGTCATTACCATAAATTGAAATTGTTTTTGCCAATACCAAAAGGCTAAGTGAAGCTAATCATAAAGAACATTATGTTTTCAGTCATCCCGGTTGCCCCCTTTGAGATTTTGTACAATATTATGCATTTCTGCGAAACTTTGGTCATTATCGCCAAGATGACAGTTTATTATTTTTTTTTTAGTACCGCATTTTTTTATTTAATGATATACTTAATATAGCTATACATTAAGAAATACATAGAGGTAACCAATTACGAGAATCAGATAACCCTATATTAAACTAAATAATCTAGTCAAATCTATCTATTTTGAAGCTATACTAAAACATTATTAACGTAACCTATAATAAGAAAAATAATAAAAAATTACTAAAATTATTTGCAAAATTTTTGACATAAAGAATTTGTGTATTTTAATATTAATTTTACTAATAACTATGCAGTATAATTAACTTTTACCATATAAATTTATTCCGTTTCCGATTCTACGTCACCACGTGATCATTCTTTCATTTTCTTTCATTTTTTCTTATCATTTTCTAACTTCTTGTCCAAGTCATCCGAAATTAGTTTGACTTTTTCCGGTGTTGTTGATAATAAAGGTTGTAAAAGATGACAGTTTACTTGTTAAAGATATTGGTCAATATTACGAGACCTGTTTTAGTTGATATATGAAAAGTGAAATATAAGATAAATTAACGGGTTTTACGAAATATCTCTGGAATTATCTGTCAGTACTGCCTCTCTCGCCGCATTTGTAGTAGCGACCAATCCACAATGTCAATATATGCAAATCGGTTAAAATCATAGGCTTTAGAAATAAGTTGTAAATTCAAATGATATACGAATGCTGCATAAATATTGTTCCTCTATTTTATATGTTTAATACTAATATAAAAAAGTAAATAATAATAATAAAATAAATAATAATAATATCATCCAATCCAACAATAACAATCGTCAATAATTAATCTTTCTGATTGTCACCTGATTTCGTATAACAGTAGCATCGTTAATGGTTCCGTTGATCATCATCAATATTATCAAAATGTAAGTTTGTAGTATTGCATCTTTAATGGTTCGTTGATGATCTTCAAGACTGGTTAAACGTTGCCATTTCTCGAACAATGGATATTAATTCAACGAAATCTGTAGCTAAAAAGAAAAGGTTGTGCATTTCATTATTTATTATTGCTAGATATTAATAAGCAACAATAATACAAAACTGCCATAATAAGAATACAATAAAAAAATCCAAATTACCATCTTTGTAAATAAATAAAACAAATTATTACAATATTCATGTGGCAAAATTTTCTGAAAATACGATTGAATCTGAAGTCCAAAACCCAAAATTCTTTACCGCAATCCGAAATTAGGGTCAAAATACGAAATTCTGGAGAAGTAAAGAGTAAAATCTACAAAAAGAGGGAAAGTTGCATTAATTAATTGAAAATAAAACACAAACACTACCAACAAACATTTAACAGAATAAAAAATTTTTTAGTATTGATATTATTGATAATATCGATCCCAAATATCAATATTATCGGTCCCAAATCAGTATATACCTATATTATCAGTATTATCAATAATATTGGTAAAGTCAGTATCGGTATTAGTCACAATATCGGTACCATCAGTATAACATAATATCGATATTATTGGTAAAAAAAAAAATTGATATACTGTATTAGTATTTAGTTCATATATTAATAATTATATATATTACGTGAAGCGTAAATGGAAAATGTACATACTATATGGATTCAGCGAAGCCACCTTCGGTGCGATAGGCAAGAGAAAGAAATTAGGCAGACCACCAAATGATAGATTCTCTGCTACTATGAAACGATCACATAGTGAGAATATTTCCCTAACACAAAAATTAGAAGTTGCTATAGATAATGGACTCTATCTACTTGATAAATGTGCAGAACTACGTAATACGTGTAATAAACTTACGAACAAAAATACACAATTGAGGAACAGATTAGAACAATCTATTATTTCATCAAAGAAGTTAAGTAAAGAAGTAAGACAATTATTAACCGACGCAAAAAATGTTTTGAATCTTGAGCAGCAGGTAGCATTTGACAAATAACACATCCAAAGTCTAAACGACAAGTTGGAAAGACTTAAGTCGCAGTATATTGTTATGCAAACTAATGATCACAACATGAGACAAATTTGATCACTAGTAAAAAAAAAATAGACGTGCTTAATTTGAGACTAAAAGAATTAGAATCTCTTTAATCATCAAAAATAACGGAAATACAAACCTTAGAAGCGGAACTTTCATCAAAGTCATTCGAGTTACAGACAGTTAAAACTGAGTGTGATGTTTACAAACAACATGTATCTGATATGGCTGAACAGTCTTTGATAACAAAATACCAGACGTCGATCCTTTTTCCAGAGAAACAGAATAAAGAAATGTTGGAAGGTGGTATCAGCGAATTATCATTTTTATACCCTGCCTCAGTTAAACGTAACACAATAATAATTTTTACGTTATCTGTTATTGTTATTGCTCATGTTTATGGAAAGCCATCCTTGACAAAAGGTTGATATCCAGACATCATGTTGGATAATGTCTAGACATCATGTTTGATATATGTAGAATAATGTTTGTACATCATTTAATATGATGCTCAAGCATCAACTGACATGATGTCTTAGAC